CATGGAGTTCGTTTCGGCCCAGGTGTCCAATGAGTCAAGGTCAGTCTGAAGTTTAGTTGGGGTTGACACAGTTCTAACTTCTCCCAGGTTCATGTCATCGACATACTTCCAGTGTGGATTATTAGTATTAGGTTTTGCGTCATTGATCATGGCGAGGAACACCAGTGGGCCCAGTAGAGTACCTTGGGCCACTCCACACGTTAGTGTTTCCCAGCTCGATATAGAGTCCTGATACCTAACACGCTGCCTTCTGTTTGACACAAAACTACAGAGCCAGGGGATCAGTGAGGGTCTTGTGCCCATGGATATAAGTTTGTTAATGGCAGTGGTGTGACAGACTCTATCGAATGCTTTCGAAAAGTCAGTTAGTATTAATGTGCCAACAGTGCTTTTCCTCTCAGCTCCCTCATAGAAGAAATTTAGGAGGTCTATAAGACAATGAGTCGTTGAGCAACGCTTCATGTTACCAAACTGCTTTATGTCTACGTTTGGGAAGATGTCCGAAAAAATCCATGTGCCGATAAAACCCTCACAGATCTTGGCAAACTGTGCGGTCAGTGAGATTGGCCGGATCTTGTTCAAGTCCGCTGGGTATTCCTTAGGCACTGGGATTACTGTGGCATCACGCCACACTTCAGGGACCCTGCCCTCTCTCAATGAAGTGTTTAGTATATCGAGTTAGGGGGGGTGGAGAGTTCGTATGCGAAACTCTTTGATTAATTTGGGTGGGATAAGGTCAGGGGCCAGGGGGCCTTAGATACTTTAACACGTTGTAGTCGTTGATACATGTCCCATGGGTTGATTTGGGGTGGGGTAGGGCTGGTAAGTATGCAGGGAGTCTAGAGTAGTCAAGTGGGGAAGGGCTTGACAAATGGCTGCTAAGTGACTGTTTATTGCTTGAGCTGCTCCTGATGTATTAGTCGGTTCGAATCCAGGTACATGGATTGTTGAACTCGGTCTGGACCAGTTTGCCAAGTGTCTGATCGTTTTGTGCCACTGTGCTGGTTTGGTTTTCTTAAGATGTTCTATGTGGTCAGCATAGTAGTTTTTCTTTGAGGTAGAAATAAGACGGGCAATCTTATTACGAAGGAACTTGTACAGGTGCCTATGGCCATATCTGTGTGCTTCCTGTCTCTTCAGTATTAGGGATTTGACTACTGTAGAGATCCACGGTTTGTCATTATTATGTACTTTAGTGCGTTTTTGTGGGAAGTGCTTGTCCAAGGCAGTATTCAAAGTGTTGTAAAAGGCTGCTGTCTTAGATTCAGCTGAGACTGCAGTTTGGACTTCTAACCATTCGTGAGTTACAATCCACTGGCCAAACTCACGTATCCTGGAATCTGGCATGGGCCGGGACACTACCCATCTAGTCTTATTAGATTTCTTGGGAATACTTTTAGGTTGCCACAGAACAGCACAGTGGTCACTTCTCCCTATGGGACTAGTAACCTCTGGGGTCAGGTAGTACTTCTTAAGGTTTGTGAGGATTACATCTAAGATGGCCTCCCCCCGAGTGGGCGTGGTGACAACTTGGTCTAAGCAGTGGGATAGGGACAGGGTTTTGAAATCTGTTCTATTTAGGGACTCAATTTCAAACTTTAAAATGTTCAACTTGGTAATTGATGTCAATGGCCTAGAGTGGATATTGCTTGCAGTTTCTGTGTGTTCTGCTAGAGGATGTTGCTAATTGTTAGGAGATGCTTCTCACTAAATAACAAGGAACTTTAACTCAAAAACATTAAAATCAATAACGACAACTAACTACTTAATCCTCCTATGTATGTAGTGGTTCTCGATGCAACAGGAAGGATTTCCATCTGGCCCTGTCTGCAGCTGTGTCCAGACAATCCCCTCTCTCTGGATTATTCTCCTCCACGTCTCTTTTGGAAGCCCTCTATTTCTCTTTCCTGTTGGTTGCCATGTTAGGGCAGCTCTTGTTATTGAGTCTAGGGGCGCGCGAAAGACGTGACCAACCAGGCCCATCTGCGCGCTGCAATGGTCAATCAATAACCATATAATTATCAAATTGTTTTTCAGGCTTGCACAGAAAGGCAAGACAATCATCTTTTCCATCCACCAGCCTCGATTCTCCATCTTCCGTCTCTTTGACTCCCTCATGCTGCTGGCTAACGGTGAGGTTGTGTACCATGGTGCAGCTGATCAGGCCTTGGATTACTTTCAGTCTATTGGTGAGTCTAATATGTGACCTTTAGAGGGCAACAAAGTCCCAGTGTTGCAGTCCAAACTATGCAACTGGACATAAATGTACCCCGGGTATATTCAGGAGTACAGTCTGGCTTGCTACACTCAGGTCCTAGAAAGATTTAGACTCGGTCAAAACTCAAATCATCTGGACAGAACTTGCTAATTTGGACCTTTACACTATCTAAATATGCACATATTATATTTGGGTTGACCATTAATCCTTATCTTGCTGCTTCCTTATCTTGTAACCAAATCATGCGATGGTTTTGTATCCAGGCCATGAATGTGAACTTCACAACAACCCAGCTGACTTCTTCCTGGATGTGATCAACGGTGACTCTACGGCTGTGGCAGCTGTCATGAATGATATCGAGAAGGAGGAAAAAATGGAAGGTAATGTTCAAACATGAGTAAAAATGATAACTTCTTTTCAAACATTCAATTTCTTCACTTTAACAGACTTGTGTCATACATGTGTTCTGTGTTCCTTTATCAAAAATAAACACACTCAGATGATTTAACCAGCCAAAAAAGAGGCAGACTGATTTTTTTAAAATCTAATATAATATAATATAATATATTTTTTTTCTAGAACTATCTGTGCAGGTACTGAATGACAACAACAAGAAGGAGAGCACCGACAGCCAAAACAACAGTGCCTTGTTAACCCAACAGTACACAGCCTCCAGGTTCTACCAGGACACCATGGCTCAGCTGGAACCTTTCGTAGAAAAACAGGACACTCTGGGAGCTAAATACACCAAACAGGAAGTCAGCTACAGGACCAATTTCTTCCACCAGGCATGTTACTTGTTGTCTGCAGTTTCTTTTACGTCTGCTAGGGGGTGCTACTGACTATTAGGAAATGTTCTCGCTGTTCATTCCGTTTGTAGACTATCACATTTTTCCTAAAATTCTTTTCTTTCTCACTTTCAACACTTTTTAGGTGGCTGTTGTACTACCAATAAACAGAAAGTGTGTGACACTGTGTTATATTATACCCTGTATTCAAACTTTAATTTAGATAACATAAACTAAAGGCTTCATCGGTAAACTAGCAATGGATGTTTGACCTTTTCAGTGCAAAGTCGTTATCAAGAGAACAGTGAAGAACTTGGTCCGCAACCCACAAGCATCAATTGCCCAGGTTTGTCAATTTTTTCTAGGAAAATTTCATAGTAATCATTACACAGTAATACATTTATTAGTCTTTTTGCTACCTTCCGCAGGACAATACTAACTAGGTTTATTTCCCATTGATTGGCGGTGCTACAATGGGAAGACGTGACAAATTGTAGATACATTTGTATCCACCCTTGCCATGGCTAATGTTTGAAGTAGACTTTCAAACCCATACATACAATTTATTTACTATGAGCAATTTACATTATTTTATTCACAAGTTTCCACTTGTTAACTGCTACTTCCCACAATTGAATTTGGATTAAGATATTATGTAATCAATATTGGAAACATATAATTTCTCTCTCAGGTCACGTTAAACATCATATTTGCTCTGATCATCGGCATCATCTACCTTCAAATAGATGCCAGTGCTTCCACGGGTGTACAGAACAGGTCAGTACAGCACTGTGATAAATTGGTACTACTCAACTGAGGTGAGTAGTACCAATGCTTTTTCAAGTACATGTACCTTATAATGCAATGGTGCAACACAGCATTCTTTACAGATCAAATATACTATAGTTATAGCTCCCCCTACTGAAAGATCTGCTTGGAGATTACCCTAACATGTCTTCTGTCCATGTAGGTCTGGTGTGTTCTTTTTCCTGGCCACCAACATGATGTTTGGCAGTTTGTCTGCTGTGGACCTTTTTGCCAGAGAAAGGCAAATCTTTGTGTAAGTTTTTTTAACAAACTTTCATTTTTAAAGCACTAGTACATTGATTTTTTAGTGTTCTTTTTCATTAAGAAATTGAGTTTTCTTTTTTCTTGCAACAAATATGATGTTTGGCAATGTGTCAGCTGTGGCCATTTTTGCAAATTTTTATGTAAGATTTTTGGCATGATTTTTATTATTTTTTATCAAACAATTTTTGGTCTACTTTTTGGAAGGGCCTTTTTTCTTTTTCAAAACTTTTATGTATTTTATCCAAGTTGAACTTAGATAAAAATAACAAGAACTTCTTGTTATTTTTTGTTGCTAACATTTTCAGTGACTAAAACTGTTACTGGTGGTAAACCTTTTTCTATGTTAAGAAAATAATAGGGCCTAATTGATAGCTAAATTGTGTTTTGAACTTGGTGCAGCCATGAGTCAGCTAGTGGGTACTACCGGGTCTCTACTTACTTCTTCTCCAAGATGTTCTGTGATGTCATCCCCATGAGACTCATCCCTGTTTCCATCTTCGGCATCATCGCATACTGGATGATTGGTAGGGACATTGTCAAGTTCCTCAGTAGCGTGCGTAGTCCAGTGGTCAGCGATCCTGCTTCTGGACTAAGAGGTTGGGAGTTCGAATCCCGGCTGTTGTCGCTCACCCGACATGCACGCTACTATTTAGGGTCGCAGTCCTTAGGATGGGACATTAAGCCGTGGTCCACTGTTCATTGCGCTTGTCGAAAAGAGCTGGGGGGATTTCCCCGGTACAATGAACCTGTAAATACTATATCTGTAGTTTAGTGTCTGTCTTCTCTGTCACGACCAGTGGAAGATTAGCTCTTCAATGAGCTAAACTGGTTCGAGATAACTCTCTCTCTCTCCCTTTAATTAATAGTAAAGTACCATTTTGTCACACCATGAACGTAAAAATTGTCAGGAACCTCACTGAAAAGCTTTTCTTTCATTGGTCCTAATAGGAAAGAGTCTTTCATAATTGACAGCTGATACAGGTTCATAGTGAAGAGTGGGACACGGCTTAATGTTTGTTGATTCAATCAAAGATCTCATCAGTTTGACCATTTATGTAATTATCCAGTCATTGTCATTTAAAAAACCCTACAGGCCCTGATAATGACATATTTTATCATATTTAGCATCACTACCATAATTCTTCCTTTATCACTAAAGAAGATAGGATTGTCATTTGGGGCATGTTAACTTTGTATACACTACTTTGTGAAGCTGCTAATTCATTTATTACTCTGACCAATAGCAATTAAGGCTGTTGTTTTAATCACTTTATAAAATACACGTTTCCAGGGTTACGACCAGAGGCCGGTGCTTTTTTCTTCTTCCTCCTGACGTTGTTCAGCACCACTATGGCAGCCTCCAGCATCGCGTTTGCCATCAGTGCCACCACACCCATCTTTCAGGTCGCACAGATCTTCATCACTCTGGCTTTCATCTTCATGCTGGTAAGGGTTTTGGTTTAGGCCTAGGAAAAAAAATGTTGTGTTTCCTGTTTCTCAACCGACCCTAGAAAAACCTGCTAACCCTAGCCTTTTTTTTGTGTGGACTCCTGCATGGAACATGAATTTTCCATCTCTTATCAATAATTGTTGCCATGTCATCATTGCTGACAATATTATGATAAATGTGACTCCTTATCAATTCAGATAAGGACTATTCTATAAGTGAGTTGTTTTGAATGTATGTTTGATGAATTCTCTACTATGTTTCCTCAGCTGATGGGAGGTTTCCTGGTTAACCTGGGTTCAGTAGGACCCTGGATCAACTGGCTGAAGTACTTCAGTATTGTCAGATACTGTATAAATGTAAGTACATGTACATCGCATAATTAGTTAATGTACCTCTCACAGAATTACAGCAGGATATACATGTACTCTCCTTTTCTATACCAACCCTTATAAACATTGTGGTTTTAAACATTTTTTCTCTACCATTCTTGTATTTGTCACAAATATCTTCATACACATCTAACTTGCACTGTGACTCTTTTAAGTTCTCCTGGACTGTGGGTTATGCTGATAGTCTAAAACATTGAGCATGATCTGTCCTTGGTGCTGAATTAGCAGTTTTTTTAACCAAAGTGGCTTTTTTTTTCATAACATTCAACTGCTGCAAACTTTTTTCGTCTATAAGAGCCTTTATGTGATATACTTTTTTTACAGGGCCTAACCATTCCGGAGTTCCGTGACCGTCTGTTCTGTGATGCCAGTAACATCACCAGTACTGCCGCTCCTGTTGGGGAGCCCAATGCTATAGGTTCTGTCTGGTAAGAATACTTCATATACCGACATAGACATGACTTGACTCTAGCATTAGAATAACTAGAACTGCAGGAATATGTCTGAATCTATTCGAATGTTACTTATGGGTACGGAAGTCTTGTTTTGAGTGCACATGAGGCCTATTCGCAAATAAAAGGTCAACACTCCGTCTGTAGTTTCCAAATGTCGGAAAAGATATCTTCTACAACAGGCAAAATTCTGATGCAATGTTGACCAAAAGCCAAGAAAAAACGTGAAAAATGGGGGTTGCAGGCGCAGTACGTTCTGCCAACGTGCTTAGTAGGCAATATAGTGTAATAACAGTTGTATGCTCTTCTCTTTCAGTGTATCTGGTAACACCTACATGGACGTACAGGAGATTGACTACAGTCTGTTTGGACAGTGGAGTAACATGCTGGGTCTGTGGGGCATCATGGTCATCTGTCTCACTCTGTGTTATATCCAGCTCAGGAGGATCAAGAAACTCAAGTAGATACATGAAGAAATCAGTAGAATACTACACAGTGCCACACCATATCGCCAGAGGTACCAGCCTGACCGCGGATCACTGGAGGACCGGAGGGGTATCCGATCCGCGGGAGGGCTGGGAGGGTGATGCGGAATACACCGTGTGGGATTTTGAAATATTTGTCATACCCACCCGAGAAAACAGATGTTTCAATGCAAAATGTTCCAAAATTTGGTGTATCTAAACAAAAAGTGTAATGGCATCAAGTGACAAGCCCATGCAACTTCCAAATTTGGTGTTCAAAGTTTTGACACTCGGTGCGTGCAAAACGCGTTTGGGTTCTTCTATGAAACATTCTGAAGCCTGTGTGATAACAAAAGACAATCCCGGGCCTTATCGCTAGTTATGACACGGCCGGAACACATTGAATCTTCAATTGAAAATCTTTGATGAAAGGAACTTGGTATGGTACAGTAGGACAAGGCTAAAGTTATAAGCTGCCTTTAACACTTTCGTGTTATTGTTGGTCTTTGTAGAATGAACCAAAATAGCATGAAAGTCTTCTTTCAAAGTTTACAGAAAAAGAAAATGTAATTTATTTTTTAAACCAAACAAAGTGAATGAGAACATGCAATGAAACAGGAATCATGACTTTATACTTTACCTCATCATGCGATCACATTCCCAGGGTTGTTTGTTTCTGCATATTTGCAAAGGAAAGTTTCTTCTTCATTGTTGTTGTTTATTCTTTTTTCAATAAAATTGCTGTAGGGAAGCAATCATTAGTGAGCCACAGCTAGAAAAGACTGATACAAGGCTACGTACATGTTATAATGTCATGTTAAAAGCAAAGGTTTAGGATTAGGATGTAAATTTTTAAACAGAATCGACTTAAACTTGAGCCATTCCATTACTCGAGAACTATGCAAATAATAATGAGGTGAATTTTTAGCAGAAAATATGGCAATTCTTCTACAATCCACAGGGTATTAGGCATATATTAATTAATTAATATTTTGTACTTCAGTAACATTCTATTATTCAAGATATTCTCTGGCAAATATGTATTTACCATAAATTATGGTGATAAGTTGCATTTTATGTAATGTTTGGTTATTTAATTTTACCATATACTTCTCATGTCCACATTTATGTCGACACAAAATAGTTGCAAATTGTATCATGCATGTTTAAAGGTTTTGGGAACTTTGTAATATTGTATATTTTCTGTGTATCAAGAAAAGGAACAGAATCTATGACATATTCTGGACTTTTCCAAACATTGTCTACTGTAACAGCAGTATTAGAGTAAGTCTTCTTTCATACTTCAATACTTAATGAAACATATCGATAAACATCTATGCAGTTGATACTGTTAGTATTGATACACTATGCAGTTGAGGCCATTGATAATCTATGCAATAAATGAACAATACTGACAAGTTCACAAAACGCAATGCTATGATATAGCATGTTATACAATGACAATGAAGTTCATTGCATTTTCATGCCCAATGGGATCATTGTCATTATACAAATCAGTGAATGGTAAAAATTTAGCAACAACTATCCAAAGATGTTTTTAAATTTATAAAGTCTATAATACACATATTTTTCTGAATATCTCATTACACACAGCCTTTGGACTATGATTATTAGAGAAAGATGTATATCTATATTAAATGTATTCGGAACTATATTCAAATGTATTATTTTAGGGATATGTGTTACATAAGTCTAATTTACGAGCTGGAAATGGTGTGTCAGCATACTGAAATATTTTGTTGAACTTGCTGGGGTTATTTGATAATAATAAAGACATTTTTATCAAATTGTTACCTTCAGGTTTTGAAGCATTGTTTTGGGTGTGATAATGATGATGTGTATGGGCGGGTGTGCTTCTCTGTTGTTATTTGCAATTGTGAACAACATAAATCGAGATATGTTAGGTGGATTTTTGCTAGGTTCGTATGTGGATATGATGTGGGCAAAACAAATGTTCAATTGTGCACCTGTGGCTTTATCAGGGCACAACGTTTTGCTATGGATTCGGACCTGGAATCTTTTTAAATTCTTACTCTACAACTTTAATCAACTTGCCACATGCACCATTTTTAAGTCGTTTGAGGGCATTTTCGTCCAAAAGACGTCAATGACAATGAACTGAATTGCATATTCACGCCCAACTTGAGCCAAATGCACTTTGTTAGGTAACTGAGTTACAAGGGTAGAAACAAGTTCTACATTACTGTGCTACGTCTATATTTACAAGATCCCTTCTCTCTTTTTAAAAACAAGCATGAGCAAATATATATAGTTCATCAATACTACGTATACGACAATGATGAGGTGTATTTCAGGTAATCCTAGCTACTGTGGTGACCTATTGAACCCATGGCACGTATATACGGACCCTGTTACCACGCAACACACCCTGCGGCGTGCCAACAAAGAGTGAGGGGTCGACTGTATTAATCTCTCTAAGGTAGGTGCATAACTGCATGTACTGTGTTCCAATAGTAGTAGATATAAGTTTACAAAAGACTTTTATTAATGGTAGCATCGTCTACTGCACACAGGGGCCTCAGAAGCTCGGTATTTTAAGTATTGAAAGACTTTCTTTAAATGAGACGTGACTAATTAAATACACACTATAATGGGCCATAGTGGAGGTCCTATTGGTCAATGAGTAACCTTCAACTAGTTCACCAGTATAGTCAGGTACACTCATTAAGCCTCTCTTGTTTGTGCTGTTGTATCGTTAAGTTCCTTGCCTGTATTCTACAGAATAGCTACAGTATGGCGGACACGAACACAGGCGACCCACGGAACTTACTGAAGCTCAACAGGCAGTTATTAGTCAGAGACATCCGTTCTACTGAGCCCATACTGGACAACCTGCTCCAGCATAAGGATATTACAGAAGAGGAGCGAGACGAAATACGGGGAAATACAACGCCCCAAGACAAGGCACGAACACTCTTGGACATTGTCTCCACGAAGGGTAAGAAGGCGTACTATCACTTCCGCGAGGCCTTAAAGACAGTGTATCCTCACTTGGAAGAAGTCTTACACCGTTGCCCCTTGCACAACGCGCGGCTGAAGCTGTACTGTGAGGTTTGTGAATGTCTGATATGTTTGGACTGTAAGAGTCTACACGGGACGCACGCCGCGACTTCTGTGTTGGCAGTCGCCGATGAAGTCAGGTCGGGCTTCGCCTCTTACGTTCGGGAGAATCGGAGAAAGCTGACGGCTAAACACGGCAAGGACATCAGCTTGCTCGACAGGAAACACCTGACGGTGTGGGCAGAGACCAGAGCGGCACACCTGCAAGCACAGGTCACCCGGCGGATCGAACAGGAGAAACAGTGGTTTATCGGGAGGTTATATCAACGGCCAGGCTCGGCTGTCTCTAGCGTGGCAGAGTCAACCAACTTGGACCGGACTACGAGTCAAGAAGAACCGCCCAACAACTTGGACCGAACTACGAGTCTAGAACAACCGCCAAACGACAAGGAAGTACAGTGCCGGGAGACATGGGCGGAACATGCACTTGTAAGTTGTACAAATATTGAATATACATGTACTGATGGGATGTAACTTGTACGATATGTAGAAAAACTAGATACACTGCCTGCCTATAAATTATAAGACTTCCAAGTCTTACAGATTCAATGATGTGACCGCACCAGGATATTTCATTCATTCTTCTTTTCCTGCTTTTAGTTTTAACAAACGCGGGTTGATACTATTCTTGGTTTTCCTGCGTGGCACGCGTAAAGAGTCTGTTTGCCAAACGCGATCGGTATTTGGGGACTTTTGTTCGCTCCATGTTTTCGCTGCAGAAAATATGCACAGTCATGCATGGCATAAAGTCCACTTACTCTCTATAGGCAGTTCCAAGTATATGATTGGTTATTGGTGTTTTTCCGCTTGACTTTCGAACCTTAAGTATTAAACAGCGTTTTTTTGTTTCCTGGAAACAGCAATAAGGAAGTACTCCCCATTGTGGCCTTTCAAGCAGCTTGAATAGTGAATTGACCCCATAGATACATGCATAAATACATAAACATTCCAGACTAGTCTCTGACCAAAAACAAAAGGCATGGACAGATTAGCATAATAGTTAATACCGGTCACCTTTTCGAACAGGTTCAGATATTTTTCTTAACTGTTTTCAAAGTAAGAATTATATCAAACCGTGCAGGATGATCGGGATAGTATTTTCTTGATCGGAATAATGAAGAAAATACTACATTTTGTACCTGCAACTTACAGTTTCTGGAAATCCAACCTTGTGGTCAAATTTACCGACTAATGTATCTTCCTGTTCTACTTTCAGTGCCAAGTGATCCACTGTAAGGTGTGTATTAACATCGGGAAGGTAGCGGAGGTTATCCACGAGAACCCCTGGCTTCCCCGGGACGACCAGCGGCTGCTACAGAGGGTCATGACGCTGGTGCTAGAGGAACCACGCCAGGTCCTCTGGTACGACGCCGAGATTACCGTCCACGGCAGGAAGATATCAGGGCTGAAATTCACCGCAGGCGACAAGACGAACAAGTACTTCGTGCATCTAGCAGACATCGCCAAACCACGTAGCGTGTGCGAAGGAAAGAAATGGCGTAAAACACAATACGCCGACGTTTTGATATGGTCTGAGGTGACAGAATAACACTTGTAACTCCGGATTGAAACTTCTTAAATTACCCTTTTTGTTGGTTTATGTTTACTGAGCAAATCACGCTTATTTACGGTATTGCGAGCAAACAAACAAACTTTAACGGCACAACGTTAACGTTCGAATTATTGCATTTGGCTTCTTGTCTTATAAAAGTTACGTTATTCAAAAGGACGAGCTGCTTATGCTTTCCCCCCTATCATGATGCATTTTTGCGGTGAATATAATCATTTCATTTCATTTAGTACCATCGTTAAGTCCAAATGACACGACTTGACTTTTACTTAACTCTGCTTTTACTTGTACACTTTGGTACTTTCCGTGCAGTGTATACAATCAGTATCTACATGCTGTAAGATAATTATCGCTGTTTCTCACAAGTATTTGCAGTCTTAACGCAATTTTTGACATCAGGATACAGATTCATTCATGAGAAAACAGACAAGGCACACTAAAGTTGGAAAAACACCCTTTTAATAGTTACAGTCCAAATATTTACAGCAAAGCTTAGCAACCATGTACTTCCATGAAAACAGCAAATTACACCCAGATATATATGCATGACTTGTGTGAACTTTAACTACCAGACCGGTCACATGCCCTTCAGAGCAGAAGAAAGATGGCGGATCATTTGAATTGGAAGCTTCTCTACAAGATCAAATTTTAAATAGTGAGTAATAATTCATTAACCAATCCAATTCAAAGAATAGTGTCATCGAGTTATGATGATAATAACTTTAAACGGATTATTGAGATAAAATGCAAGTAATAACAAACTATAAACGTTAACAACTATAGCTATCATCAATACAATAGCAACAGCATGGTAATATATGACCAGCATTTATAAGATACACCTAAGGTATACTTTGTGCCCGGACTACACACTATTTCTCTCTGCTAGATATCTCATAGAGTAAAAAAAATTATATATTACAGAACCCCTTTGAATTCAGGAAGCTAGAAGTGTTAATGATAATTAATGATCCATGCAACGAAAGATACAATCTGCCAAATTGATAACATTGAATATAATTCATGCAACGAACTTCAATAGAAGCTCCTGAATTACTACAACCATTTCCCAAATTACCATATATTATTCAACCATATCTTCAGTCACTGACGAAAGCTAGTGGATACTAGCTGAAATGTCTGACGTTTTCAAACTCATATCCAGTTGCTTGAGTAACTGATATCGCATTACCTGGATGTCTAACCTTCATCGACGCATATCATCTATAACTCTGTATTTTTTATCTGACATCTCCTCCCTTGCTTTGCATACCTGCACCAGAAGCGGGGCAGCAAGTTCACACAGCAGTGATCTCGTTCCCGTGATCTATGTTGTTCTCCTTCGCGGCGAGATGAGACCTCTCTGGGGTTTCTTCATCCGACGACCGTTTTCTGTCCTCTACCCTCTAAAAAAAGCCGTTCATATCAATATGTGTAATATCTTTTTTTAAAGGTCTTGATATATTGTAGTAAATACACAATATTAAAGTAAAAAGGTTATATTTGCAAAGCAAAATGCGTAATGTTTACCTTCGCATATGGTCTGATCTGTTAATCCTCACTCAAACACATTCATATATAGTCTGACAGGAGTCTTAATCCCCCATGCTATAAAATTGCAACATGATGTAACCCGATACTAGTTACCATGGTGACAGACCTCTGGTTCAGGTCATTCCACCAGTAAACATAACAAGTTTCATTGCTATAGAGTTAATTATACATGATTGTACTTTATAGCCACCGAGTCATATACGATTAAATGCAATACCGCCTTGCGACTTTTATGTGAACTACAGGATCCGTAATTCACACTACCGCCTTACCTGCACACAGTTCCTGATAATCTTGATGATGATGAACACGGCTGGGGTGGAAATTTGTACCTGTGGCAGCAAATTATAAAATGTTCTAAAACCTCATCAAAGGTAATTTTCTTCAACCAAAGAGGTCATTATGAATAAATTCATATTGTCTTTAATGCCTATCAAAGAAAGGTTAAGTACAAAGAAGTCTGCCAATAAATGCATACCCAGTTGATAACTTCCGAGTCGAATTGCCAAGATGGTACGAAACACAAGAAGAACAACAGCACACTAGAAAAGAAAATGATAGATATATAAGCAACCCCATATCTACAATAGTATACATGGACGTAGGACAAGTTGAATTTAAAATAAATAACATACATTCTAACCGTCGCACAAGCGATACGTCCTGTGTAGATAACCCAAAATGCATGTAGCTGTGAAGGCTCTTTACAAGTCAAGCACCTTAAAGGCATCTAAGTATACGCGATTTCAGGGCAGCAAAACTGGAAATAGTTTGAATAAGGCAATCTTTGTTGTGATATTCTTGGACATATACTGCTCCTCATTAGCACACTTGAGTCAGTATTTCATACTTCGGGCTTTTAAAACTGCAGAAACAAGTCCCGAGATGAGTCCTTTATTTTCTTGGTGGTATCCTAACAGTCAGCCCAGAGCCCTTCCAGTAACTAATTTTCGTCAGAATTTTTAAAAATATTTGCTCCATGAAGGTCAATATACATTGGGACAATGTGGTTTAAACCCATCATGTAGATAAATGACTAGAATATTGGCTTTGGAAAAGTCGGTTTTCCAAGCTCTAAAAACTGCACTGAATGCCTTTAAACAATGACCTTAGACCACAGTGAGTGCATCACAATACTCGTGCGCAGTCGGAACTGCATGGTCGATATCTTACTGCCATGTATCATTAGCACTCTAACAGTAACGCCAAAGGTTGCACACAGAAGATACCTACCTGATGATCGGATACACACACAGCCTAGTCAACATGAACGTGTTCATGTATTTGTCTTTGTCGACATCAACAAAACGGTGGAGCAGCTTCGACCTCCGGACGAAACAGATGCATAGTGTCATAACATCAATACGTATCTTGAACATTAAAAAGTGTTTTTATATTGCTTTGTGTATCTCTCTTTAGGATTAGCACAATAGCAGTGTCCACGTTTAAAAGGCGTTCTATAACAGATCAGGCATCTTGATACCTTTGACACATTGTTGACGCCACACTTCAAAGAAGCAATTCAACGTGGCAAGCCTCACTGGGTCAGTCTACTAAGGAAGACCAGAGTGATCAAACGTTTTAACTCTAAACATGTAACTACCAACACAGATGAACTTTCATGATTGTCAACGCTAAGTTCAACGTAAAGTACAACTTACTGGTTTTTCATGATGACGATCCACATGACCAGGTGCCAGATGCTAGACAGCAGCACCGTGCAGGCGTTCAGCTGTACAGCTAGGGCAGCATCACCTGCTGACACCTGCGGACAAGATACACAGTTTGCGACAGTCCCATGGGCAGGGCTGAAAATTAAAGGTGGTCCAATGCCCACTGACCACTAGAATTTAGACTGGGACAACTAAAAATTTTGAAACTTCTTGACATTTTTTGGTACAATTGAAAAATAATCAACATTAGAATGTCAGCCCTTCTTTTGTTTATCAGGCACACGTCCCGGCTTTTGGATACAGAAAAGTCCTCCCGAATTTAGTGCGCCTGGGAGTGAACATAAGCAAAATTAAGCTTCAAGTTGAAGTCATACAATACTTCCCCATAAACAGATTGGGACAGGCCTCGCTTCGGGACAATTGGAATTTATTTTTGGGAGGACAGTGCATGCGCAGGGAAAATAGAAAAAAATAATAATTTCGAGGCCTGCTGTATTAAAAAGCAAACGGATCATTTGCAAGGCTTTCGGTGTAACACACCAGGTCGTATCTTGTTTGCCATAGAGGCTGATAGAAATCTATTGTGCAACAACAATAAATGCAGCATACGTCTTTTCCGAATTCTCCGGTAATCTTGAAGACAATTGGAAGCAGTCCAGCAAACATGAGAGCCTACAGGTGAAAACAATGGAGATATATTTGTTATATTTTACCTTCTGTACGATCTAAAAACCAGATGTATATGGAATCTATCTCAAATATACGAGATATCAAAAGAAAAAAAAAAGACAAGATAGTCAGGGATGGGAGCTGAATGAAAAAAAAATATGTATAGTCCGGATCTTACTGACCAGCTTGTTGAAGAACTGTAGAAGGTGATTCTCTGCGAATATGCGCTGTAACATGAAGGGGAAAATTTTTTTTATTTTTTTTAATTTGTTCCAACATGTAATCACCAGACGTGGTGACGACACACTCAACTTATATTAATGCCGCCACCAACACAGGGACAAATACATGACAGGACAATACTCATTTACACCTGAGCTAAGTGAGGAAAGTCGTGTAAAGTGCCTTTCCCAAGGGCACAAGATCGGTGGCATGTCAGGACTCTAACCCGGGACTCTCAGTTCCGAGTCGCGCACTCTGCCGGGGAAAAATTTACTATTATGTTTGATTTTAGTATGGTATGTAAGCATATAGTCTCTATAAGCCAAGAAGGCCAGCTCTTACATGACTATCACCATGAGTAATTCTTTATTGAGAATGTGTAAAACCAAACTTACGTAGAAGATTGAGTGGTGGAGATACCACAGCATGCCTAACAAGGACAAGACAATATTCATAAAGTTTGCATTTTACAAAATTATATAAGTCGTTCATTTCAACAATAACACCTACATTGTAAATATAGGGACGGACTCCAATGTATTAATGTACGAAACTCCAGGAAATACTATTAGAATATAGATAATGTTCTCCTGTTTGTCATGGTATGCTATCATTTTGATCTTATAATCATTCCATCTATCTGTTCATCGCTTTTTCGTACTACACATGTTGAAGACAATGTATATGGTTTATAGGAGACTTACATATGGTGATGAATGTGCCGGCATACGACATGAACACATGCTGGTCGTGTTTCAGGGCTGAGATCAGGTCACCATGCTTCGCGATGTCCTCGTCCTTAGATGGGACGTTCTCCACACTGTTATTAATAAATCGCAAATTACCAATAAAAGTGTCCCATAAAAGGTATAAAACATTTTACCCCATTTAGCCATTTAGCAAAAATGCTTCAGTCGGACGAAGGTCGATGTTTATTTTGCTTCATTAATTATTAGAAAAAAAATATAGTTAGGATATGCCTTAAAAGAGACGGTCAAAAACAATATGTCCAATTATCTCAAGAGACCAAGCAATAGTTAAGTTGATGAAAATGAATGAAAATGGAAACATGAAGAAGTTAACAAATGTTATCAGTATTTACCATATGTCCAAGATAATTAGTGTGGCAATGATTGCATAGACGCCGTCACTGTAGACTGAAGATTTAAAATAACAAAAGCATTGTTTATTGTCACGCCAATCACCAGAAATCAAATACTAGTAATGTAAAAACTTTATTTATAAAGCAGCCAAACGTTTACAAAGCGGAACCGCTGTAAGATACAGCCTATGACAACTCACCCTTGGTTCTGAGGGGATCAGACCTCTCTACTACAAGGCGTGAAGGAGAGAAGACTTTAGATCCAGCTTCTCCGTTTCCTTCGAAGAAAAAAACCAAATGTTTAAATCAGTACCTCACGAACCGTGATAGTGATAAGGAAGAGATAGAGAGAAAGAGAGAGAGGGGTAGAGATTAAAAACGGAAAAATCTGACACATGAAAAAATTTGACGGAAGAAGGAATAGTTTTGATGAACGTTAACACAATGATAACATGCAGCACCAAACCTTTTGCGAAGTAGTAGATAGATATGATGACTTGGCGCAGCAGTGGTTCCAACAGAAGCATCACTAACAAGGCCCAGGCCTCAAAATAGAAAAAAAGAAACAACATGAAAACATTCTGATGAAAAATAACACGGGCTTCCATCGAGAAATTAAGGTACTGTTTGCCAAGATCTGAAACGAGAATATTACAAGAACTAATGTATGAAATTGTTCTCACGGCTTCAATTGCAATCCAGGCAACCCCACCAGCAACAACTGCGATGATGGGCTTTCCCAGTACCATTAACATCGTTCGACATCGCTTGGATTTCTGAGGAAAAAATGTGAATATCTACAGTTAGATCGTCCACTCATACCAGTATCTCCGGGTAGCAAGGGCGGAGTTAGAAAGCGTGTCATTTCTAATCAACGAAAGATGTTGTTCATTTTTATATGACGTTAAACGTTTTTTTTTTTAAATAATGTGGAATAAGAATAAGACATCACCATACAAATGTTTGTGTTTTGGATCAGTACGTATACTCACAATTTCACCATATCTTGCCTCGTCTTCTTCGAGTAGGTTCGGCCTGGTGTAGGCCTGCCATGCTATCCCAGCCTGTATGGACGTAGTAATATAGTATCATAATGCAAGGATACACACAGCCATATAACACATGTAAAAGAATGGCTGATTAATGTAATTACCATGAGAGCTCCGGCTATGGTGATGCTGGAACAGAACAACACCACTGCAAGTGGCTCCCGGGGATGTTCCGCAAACATCAAGAACTAAAAAAAAAGTCAAGAAGCAAATATGTCATCATTTTTACTTAAGTTCATATACTGCTAGACATCCCTTACAATTAAGTAATAATGTAATTTGATTCAATCTTATTTGCAACAAAAGCAAACAGGCTTGCCACTTCCACTGAAGCAAATCACCCTTTCTTCCTCCATTCACCATCTCTTAGGAGGAAGTTCCACACTGAAAGCTTCTTTCCTATTCGCTATGGAATAAGCTACCACGTAATTGTTTCCCATATAGGTATAACCTGAAACTTTTCAAGTCTAAGGTCAACAAACATCTGTCCTCACTGGCTGTACAGTAACCAAAACATTTTGAGTGGCTCTCATGCGCTTTGTTTTGTAGTGAATCATGAAGTAAATAAAAAAGGCTATATCATAATGCTGTTAAGTCTAAACGGTTGCTATTGATAAATACGATTAAAGTCAGTTCAGCATGGATCTCAAATCAAGGTGGACTTGTCCAAAATACCATTATGCACGGAGGAAAGAGACGAACATACCGAAAATGGGAGGAAAGTTGACGCCATCAAAACTCCCTAAGATCACACGACACATGTAAAAAAAAACATTGAGAAACATATTCCATTTTAGTAAAGGCTATTCTTATCATTCAATTGAATCTTATTGAATTTTATTACTTGCAGATAAACGCTGATACCAGTAACTTCATCATTGGTCCCACAAACTACTCCATTGTATATCATTTATGTGTCTTCCCCATTTTTTAGAGAAAAAAAAAATGTCATTACCAAATTCAGAAGAATGATCGACTCGTTGACTTTTTCGATGTATCCGAACAACCTGTAATGTATCAAGAACAAGGCGAAGTAGTTTGTCAGTATCTGCCATTGCAATTTTATGGAAGCATAAACTCCAGTACATAAAATGCAAAGTAGAATTGTGCGTTGCATGTGCCACTTCATTTGGAGTTGAACATTGTCTTGAATGGTCAAACGTTACCCAATTGCGTACCAAACGTTGAAATAATAATAAATGATAGTAATAATAATATTAATAACAGAGAGACGCGTTTAACACAACCGAGTCTTTTTTCAGCCGACGTTTCGGTAACCGTCTGTCACCTTTCTCAGGTGTACATTTCTCAATATTGTAGGTTTGGGAATGCATCAACAGCAGCGACACCTGTGCTGTAGTACAATGTGAACCAGTCAAAATTCCCTGAGGAAGGTGACAGACGGTCACCGAAACGTCGGCTGAATAAAAGACTTGGTTGTGTAGAAAGAGTCTCTTTACTCAATAACAGAAATGATAAAGACGTCATGCTGATAAGCCAGGCATGTTCTTACGTGGTGTGGGTACTCCATGTTGAAGCTACGATCACAAACGTAGTGGCGTACACAAGGATCTTGAACCAAATGGACTTCAATCCCTCCAGGAAGTCCTATAACGTACATTTTCAACATATTCTAGTCAGTAAAATTGTTAAGTAGACATTGCTATACAATTGCACTTGCTTTCCTCTGTTTCTTCTTCCTCTTCTTCTTCTCCAAACAAATAAGGTCAATGACCTGAACGAAACGTCTGTCACCATGGTAACTAGTGTTGAGTTACATCATGTTGCAATTTTATAGCAGGAGGGATTTAAGACTCCTGTCACCATATACATGAATGTGTTTGAGTAAGATAAACAGAGAAGACCATATGCGAAGGTACTAAACATTATGCTTTGCAAATGTTACCTTTCTTGTTTCTTTCTTTTTCTTGAGATAGCTTTTTTATGTGCAACTAGTTATATGAGCATATTATTTCTGCGTTAACCTCGAGTAACCTACACTAAAGCACTAAATCAACACTATTGTTGTCTTTAGACCTGTGATTTAGAACATATCCCTAGGGTAGCAAGTCATTTCAAACAGCAACAACAGTTAGAAAGTGTTCAAGTGTTGTTATTATGTATTCCCTAGCATTGGAATTTAGTTGTTGTACAAATCTATAACACTTCAGTCCTGCAATATATGCCACAATGTTTAGTTTAACCTACTTGAGTGTTATAATCCGTGACTTAAATGGATACTATTTCGCTGAAGTCAGCAAAGTCTAGACTATCTAACACTAACAGCACCATTTACGGAGAATGTAAAATCTGGTACGGGGGCAACGACCTGGACTAGACAACAATCCAACGCTCTACGAGGATAACTGAAAGGTATTTGTGAACCGAGGCATGTCATTATCCTACAGAACAACCAGGCCTTACTACTGTAGGTGAAAATGTGGGCCTGCATGGGGGGAGGTGGCAGGGCTCCCCGACAACGCTCTACGCTAAATCTAAAGAGCCATTCACGTAAACGCGCTGAATTCATGAAACTTCCCCATTACGTTTCACGATAAATTCCGGGTAGGTACAACGCATTACGTAGAATCAAATTACGCTCATTACGCTCTATGTAGAGTTCACACGGCCGATTACGCTCTACGGAAAAGGTCATGCAGACCCCCGAAAATGTGTTGCAAGTAAAGGTGGCTAACCACAAATTATGTCCAGTCACTGCACAATATAAATACGCACCAGAAACGCATAACCTTTAGTACGTTCTCTTAGCTTGGTTTGGTGATTGTTTGCTAAATATAGATACTATCGATCATATTTCATAGCTTCTTGGTCGTCATTTTGTTTGGACGGGTTTCCATTGACGATGCGTTTTTATTCATATGATCAACTTTGTAAATCAGTAGCCTGTTTCTTGCACATCCATTTATAATAAATGAAATCAATGAAGATTATAGGCATTACCTCACTACTGTTGATCTCCTCCACTGTTTCTCCGCCCAGTGGTACGATCTGTATACAGGCATGATCAAAACATTAGTGTTCTGCATATCCATATCTGCATGTACAAATATAATAATAAAGAATTAACAACTATTGAGTTGGGCTGTATATTCGCGAGGCGTGAGGCCCGCATGACACAACAAGCTGTCATAAATAAAGACTTTACTTCGCTTAAGAACAGGAACTGCAGCTTTGCAAACTCTTCCTATTCTTCAATGATGATATGATTACAGGTAGTAGAATGTGAAGAGAAAAGGAAAGGTGCCTCTAGGCTACAATCATTACTGCACGATTTGGTACACGGGACATTTTCCTATGGGGCTTGTCCTTGGGCGCGTTCATAGGTCAGTGTTTTGTTGACTGTTTTGAGAGGAAACACAACGAATTTCGCTATTTCACATGCACATTGGTAGCAGCATATATATAACAACTACTTATGTGCATCATGTGTTCAATTCTCAGTCTTTGTTCTCACATTTTGCAACGTTACGAAGAAGCGAGAAGAAACAGTGTCCACAAACTAGAATAAACACAGCGCTTTCTAGCTTCTTTATATGTACTTAGACTATTGTGCCCTTATTTTTGAGAACTTTATTTAGGACGATTGGTAAAATGTACATTTGAGGTTATCATTAATTCATTGATGTCAATCACAACTCAGGAGACTGCATACATGACAACATCAAAGCAAACCCGCGTCCAATATTTGACACCAATTAAATGACTTTGCACGGTGCACGTATGCATAAGACATTGTACAGAATGACGTCAACTAAATTTTACATAAACCAGTTAACTGCCTGACCAATGAAATCACGTCTCACCATGATCGTGGTGATGATTGAGAAGACAGCATCGCTGTAGGACAGCAGTCTCTCGGACGAGCTGATATGCTGGTCCCGCGCCATGTTGCTGTCGCCCTTGCTGTCGTCCCCGTCAGACAACCAGAGCCGGTTAGATCAAAAGTTCGGCTGACCTTCGGATTTAACAAAAGCGCCTCCAGGACTAGCAAGCTTGCAATAAGTCAGAAGTGCTTTTTTTTTACCTGAAACTAACCTGTTTAACAATACTGAAAAACCAACATGGAGTTTTTCTAGTGCTGCGCCGGGACCTAAAAGAGGGTGTGTGCAATTAGTTCAAACTGAACTCTGACCTTTGGCGCGTCTTTACCTGAAAGCTACTGCCATAGTATCTTTAGTACCATACTAGTGCTTACGTCGGATATCAAAAGTGTGCGTCGACATACACTATAGTGTATGTTTGGCGCGTTGAGTTATATATGATCTCCATTATGAATGAATATAACGAGAACATTTTATTAAAAGCCATGCCGATAAAGAAGAAAAATACACATATTAGGCTCAACCTTTAAGTTATCTTAAACCAAGTTTACCTTCACCATGTCGGACCAGTTGGTAATAAAATAACTTGAAGTAACGCCCCGTGTAAGTTTTGAAAAAAATATACACAAACATTTTATGCAATCCAATAAGCGTACAATCCAATAAGTGCACGTAAGAGTACATTGTGACATAACAGTGCATTTCATATCTATTCAGCTTGTTCATGCGATTCCAGCTTATCAAAATATACAGAACGGAACATCCTGAAGTCGACGTTACACTCTGTTACCTAAGGCCTAATTTGTTAAACGTCAGAGGTTTGCTGAATCGAACGTAACTTTTCCCAGAAAATCTGACAATGACCTTCGGCCTACTTTGCTACACGTCAGAGGTTGGCTGAATCTGACAATGACCTTCTGCCTAAATTGTTACACCCAAAAGGTTCGCTGAATCGAATGTAACTTTTCCCCGAAAATCTACCCTATTGTTCAGAAGAGGGCTCGGTGACCTGAGAACACCGACCGATCCCACCGACCGATCCCTACAATAGCGCAGTCTGTGAGAGAGAACCGGTCGTACTGCCGCCGTACGTGAGGCCACACTGATTTGATTCTAAGGATGACATCCGCACGCGCCTTGATTTTTGCCTGTTCCCAAAAAATCACCTCCTCCGATCCGAGGCTCTGGCCTGGGTTCCTCCGTAGTCAATGGTAGCCAGCAACCGTAGGGAGCCGGTGGTAGCTACGGAGGAAGGCACCCAGGCTGCTGAAGCTTCATGGAACTCAAGACCCATAAATGCCGCAAAAGGTAAGCATTTGGCGGCTTGTCGAAAAAGTCGCTATGTACATGTACTACTGCACAATACCAGCTTTGTATCCCTGTGGTCTAGCAGCATTTATTTGGCTGGAATTTTTTTTATTCACCAGCACGCACTAGTTTGGGGGTCTTTAGAGTATGTCATCCACTCAGTGTGGCCTTTCAGAGCTCGCAGGCTCTTCGATTGAGCTATTTTCCTGGTGTGGCGCATGATTTACGGTGTACACGATGCAGCCTAATACAAGATAATAATAATGATAATAATGATAATAATGTAGTTTTCCCGCTAAACATATGTCTAAAGGGAATATGTACAGCAACACAAGCAACACACAAAAGGCCCATTTAGGGGATTTACAAAGACGTAGACTCGATTTCGACGGGGTTGTCGATCCCCTCTTGATCCTCTTTACTGGGCTCCTCTGGTTCTGTCTTGACGTTTGCGACTTCTTCGTCTATTTCTGGAGATTTCCTCGGTTCTTCCGCCTTCACGAATCTCTGTAGAAACAGTTTGTGTATCTTATGTTAATTCATTTGGTAGGTAATGCGATCTGTGTCTTTTTACCTTCGCCAAAAAAGTTATGTTTTCAGTAGCTTTGTCCGTCCGTCTGTCTGTCTATCTGTTAACAAAACAGAACTAATAAAACAACTTTATATACATTGTTATGAAACTTGGAAGGTTGGTTGGTGTTGATGAGACCTAGAATGATTAGATTTTGGCCCTCTAGTGGCTTTCGTTGGTACTGCAGAAGAACGTGCTGTTTTGAAACCTCATGATCTGAACATGCTAGGGTCACGAATTGTAGATAGCTCTTGGGCCAGGAAAGAAGTGGCATTGATTTGAGCCCCCTAGCAGCTTTTTCAGGATTTGCAGTGTAGTGCGTTTAGAACTCTTTGAGAGAGAATAAATCAAGGATCATTTTGAAAGTACAGTTGAATGGAAGATATTTACCTGTGTCCAGTTACGAAGAAGCTTCAGAAGTATGAATACCAGAATCAGGCCGATTTGTACCTGTATAAAGAATAGGATATAATTTTTTAACACAAGGAAAAGCATGTATACAACAAATGCACAACAGCGTTTACATACCTTACGACGTACCTGTTCATACGACGTGTATTATTTTATATCATTGATCCCTTGTATATTATATTTTATTCACCTAATGGATGATTGACTCTGACTAAATGTGAAGCACATCGACATTTACTTAAATTAACAAAAACGGCATTCAACAACAACATATGTTTGTATAATTTTGTACAATGAATCTTACCCCATTGATGACTGCAGAGGAAACAGGAACGACGAAACAGACGCAGAAAATCACCAAACTGTAAAACGAGATGTGTTGTTACACATGCAAATATGCAATGGTGAGGCATTAAGTCAATCATTCCATTTGATTGCATGTGCGCTTGCTAATGCTTCCCTAGTTATTTACAAGTGTTTGGTAGTGGACACTTTAAACTTCTCGCTATGTGCAGCGATCGCGAGAAATTCACAATTATGAATAGAACGAGAAATTCACAAGCACTCTATATGGCCACACCAATTAAATTCTATGGATGACATCCTCGCGCGCATTGATTTTCGTCTGTTCTCAAAAAAAAAAAAAAAATCACGTCCTCCAAGGCTCTGACCTGGCTCTAGGCCTGGGTAGTCCATGATAGTTAGCGACAATACGGAACCGGGTACCCAGGCTACCGAAGCCCCACGATTCAAGAACTCAGTACATACGCACAGTGCCGATTTATTAATTCCGCAAAAAGCCAGCATGTACCGACTTGTCGTATATGTCGCTAAGTACTGCCGCAAATTCACAATACCAGCTTTGTATTCCTGTGGTTTAGTAGCATTTTTATTTTTTTGCCTGTATTTTTCTTTATTCGCCCGCGCGCACTAGTTTAGGGGTCTTCAGAGGATGTCATCCATAAAATTAAGGCGGTATGGCCTATCATCTAAGAATAACTGGACATATCGCAGGGGTCACTCCTGAAGTTCTTGGGGGAGAGGTACTCCCTAATCGGTTGGTAAAACATCAGCAAATTTTCATGACAATACCAAGAGAAAACCCTAAATTTGAACATTTTGGGGGAGTTGCTAGGATTTTGGGTAGAGAGAGAGCACGAGCACCCTTGCCTCATTGCTTGAGGAGAGCCCTGTATCATGCTTGGAGCTGTAAGATCTTGCAAATTCTTGATACAGCAGTAAAAGTTACCTGACAATGGGATAGATGAGCAGGTTCAGGCACATGAACACACAGTCACGTACATCGTGAGCAGACGGTTGAAGTAGCTCGGATCTAGTGATAACATAATTTTAAAAAATCAGTTTGTTTTAAGTATACGTCTTGTTGCCCCCCTTTTTTTATAATCCAACATTTCATGACTGGACATGGTGACGGCACACTCAAGTATTTTATACCGCCTTCAACGCAGAAGACAAATACAGGACTGGACAATACTCATTTTCACTTGAGTTAAGTGAGGAAAGTCGTGTAAAGTGCCTTTCCCAAGGCTACACTTACACAGCCAGCACTTAATGAAACATCCAGTCTATATACACTAGAAGTAAATAGATACGCTTGAAGTTTTTTTAATCAGATATGGTCCAAAATCCCAACCTGCATGGTTAGCATATATATATTCAGAACGATCGCAATGAGTTGCAAAAATGCATTCACCCCTGACGCGTTGCCAAACGTACCTAAAGGGACTTACTTCTTACACCAAGCCGTGATCCATATGACCAGCAGCCAGATGCTGGCCAGAAACACCGTGCCGCTGTTCAGCTGTACAGCTACCGAGGAATTGTCGTTATGCACCTGACAAGGAAACGATATCGAAACAGCCAATCAGAGCTATCCGTTACGAAAACAGCCTATCATAGCTATCCATTATAAAAACAGCCAATCAGAACTAGTAGTTATGTTCAAAGTTAGAGACGGCAATTTTTATTGGTTTATCAATTCTTTATATTGTTAAACCATCATTTTCTGTAGGATTTCGCCGATACTCACCAAGTGTCCCCCAAACTCTCCCGTTAACTTGAACACGATTGGGAGATATCCAGCAAACATAAGCGCCTGTCAAGAAAACAAAATCATTATGCAGGTGGTGGAAAGTGAGATTTCTACTTTTTTGGGGAATAAACACGAAAAATATGATTCTTGGAAAAAAAACATTTAACGACACATAGCTTACCAGCTTGTTGAAGTTCAGCAGCAATGAATTTTGGGCTTGTATGTGCTGTGAACAGAAAATTCACATTTTAGTTGTGAAATAGCTATCACCAAAAGTAATTGTGGTACGAAGCAATGCATTCAAAGGTATGCACAGAAAGCAATGACTGAAGGAGACAGAGGTATTGTCATGGATTCAGCCTTACGTAGAAGATCGAGTGATGCAGGTACCACAAGAGACCTGAGGAAAATGTAGAGAACGGTTGGAGATTTATATACTAGTATATTACGCCAAGTCAAAAAAGCAAAATGATATGTATAACTTCTTTGTATGGTACTGACTACAATGTCTACATGGCCCTACCCTTGGCACTGCATGTACTGACGTAATAGTACTCACTATATACACTGTCCTTTGTACTAAGTACGCACTCATCTGTACTAACTAGACTCTCTATATGGGTCTGTCCTTGGTACTGACTACACTCTCTATATGGGTCTGTCCTTGGTACTGACTACGCTCTCTATATGGGTCTGACCTTGGTACTGACTACGCTCTCTATATGGGTCTGTCCTTGGTACTGACTACGCTCTCTATATGGTTCTGTCCTTGGTACTGACTACACTCTCTATATGGGTCTGTCCTTGGTACTGACTAAACTCTCTATATGGTTCTGTTCTTGGTACTGACTACGCTCTCTATATGGGTCTGACCTTGGTACTGACTACGCTCTCTATATGGGTCTGACCTTGGTACTGACTACGCTCTCTATGTGGTTCTGTCCTTGGTACTGACTACGCTCTCTATATGGCTCTGTCCTCGGTACTGACTACGCTCTCTATATGGCTCTGTCCTCGGTACTGACTACACATGATACTGATTACATTTGTTTTTTTCGAATATATGTTGCTGGCTACAATTTACTTGGAACTAAATACACTGATTGTGTTTGGTAATGACTACACTAGACATGCATGCAAAGCTCATATAGTAGTACATACAAATTGTCACGAAGGTTCCAGAATAAGACAGGAAGACATTTGCATCCCGGGAAAGAGCCTCTGCCAAAGTGCCGTGGATGTCTACCAACCCAGTGTGCGGAACGTTGTTCACACTGGAAAACAGGAACAGCATTAAGAAACAAGAAACATAGAAAACATGTCATGGTATAAAACATGCATTCGCCACTGTAGGCTAAGAGTAATGCATGATGACATGTGGCTATACTATAACTGAGAAGTGTAATATTTTTGACGGAAAACACTAATAATGGCAAGAGTAAGCTTTACAGAAAATAGTTGTTTCGTTGTATATTGCATTGACAACCTATCTCTATACGTACCAAATGTCCAAGATAATGAGGGTGGCCACGATGGCGTAAACACCGTCACTGTAGGCTGAAACATATGAAAATAAGGGGAAGAACGATTTGAAAACAATAAATAAGTAGATTACAAAGTAAAGCGTTGCTGTTTATATCATTACACCTACTACGCTCATCATATAATACTGGCTAAATTGTCGTTGGTACTGACTACAATGTTCGTGGTACTAACAACACTGTGTATATGATACTAGTACTAGCTGCACTGTCCTTGGTACTAAATGCACAATCACCGGTCCTTTCTACACTGGCCTTGGTACCAATATATCCTTGGCACTAACTCCACTGTCGCTAGTACTTACTACACTTTTTGGCACTGGTGAAATTTAAACGTTTTTATAACTTTTAATCTGTGTCGTAAAGATTTAGATGTGTTAAGTTGTTTGCATCATGTATTTATCACAGGCGGGTATAACTAGTGTATAATTGACTTGATTTTAAGAAAATCTGCCAGAACATTGGCTGATATTTACCATTTGTCCTGATCACATCCGACGTCTCCGAGTAGAGGCGAGACAGCTTCAAGAGTTTGGTTCCAGCTTGGACGTTTCCTTATGATAACAAAAGACATTTAACACATCACGTATTTGCTGATAAAAATTAGTGGCTGTGCTATATCTAGGATTTAAACGCTTGGTCTATAAAAAATAAACATCCATCAGAATGTAACGTTTATAGGTAGTGTTACTACTACATTTTCATCAGTAGTATACGATGCAGTACGGTCAAGTAAACCTCGTTTGATTGCTATTATTATCATTCATGGTAGACTATAAAAAACAAAATCTGTGGATGGAGGAAATAAACTTCCTACCTCTAACACATGTCATGATCGCGTCCACAGCTATGAATATAATCGGCTTGAGTGTCATCAGAACAAGAAGCGCCCATGCCTGAAAATATTTTAAGTGTTACATAGTATTACGTATTTACATAAATCGCATGAACATGCAGACATTGCCATCTACCTTATTATTGCAATATTAAAATGACTGTTTTTACTTTTTTTGTGTATGCAAAGCTTTCCAGATTTTGTAATTTACTGTACATGTGCCTTTCCCTTGTGTTGAAATACCTATACCCAATCCATTTTCGTATCGAAATAACTAAAACAACTGTCACTCTAATCATTTCTTTCCCCAATAAAACAAAAACTGTATAAAATCACAAGCAGAAAGACAAATCTGTTCATTTCTATTTGTTACGACCTAATAGCCCAATATACACTCACGACTTCGATAGACCCGTAGCTGACAGGAATGGCGATGATGACAATAATCGGCCTGATCAACAGCTTGACGGTAGCTCGGGTGCGCTGAAATTTCTGCAGATGAAAAATGAACATCAAACAACAACATACAATCTAGAAAAATCGAGTAAGATTCACGCATATTGATATATGTTTTGACTGCATGCCGCGTGCATAAAGCTATATTCCTTGAACCCCGCCCCCTGCCTTCCCCCAAAAGCGACTTTCCATACATTGATCTCTTCAAAGACACGTGTTTGAAATGACAGACTACTTTTTGCTTAAATTCAACTCACCATTTCCTCTTCCCCTTTCTGGACCAATTCTGTTTTAAGCAGGTTGGGTCTGGAATAGGCATGCCACAAGATTGCCAGCTGAAAACATAAAAACGATTTGAAAAAAAAAGTGAAAAATTTTCGATTTTTTGAATACTCAAGATAATGCAGTCGGTAATAGTGCACTAGTTGGGAACCATTGATATTTTAACGCACTTTATTGTATTCATTATATGCTAAATAAAGTTGCGTTTTTTTTTTACTTTGCCATGGCTTTTGTAACATATACATGAGGTGGTTCTATAAAATTCATTATTTAAAGGTAATAGAAGTCCCCATAGTTATTATAAGAGCAAAAAAAAGTGTCAGAAAACGTGGAACGATTTTCTACAGGTTCATAATATTTAAAAGTACCATGAAAATGCCCTGAAGTATAATACAGCCAGAAAACAGCAACACGGCGAGTTGCTCTCTGGGATGCTCAGCAAACATCAGGAACTAAGAGAGAAAGAAGTAAAAATTATTAATCAATAGAGTATTTGTGAGATATACGTAATTGCAATCATAAAATGTCGCAATCTGTTTAAAGAAACAGTACATAACAATGTATTATTATGAAACAAAGAGATTACTTACCGCATATGGCAGAAAGGTCGCTACCATTAGAACACCCTAAGAACAAAAATGAAAACAAAATAAGATATGAATAAAAGGTATTAATATCTTTGGGAGGTCAACGGTATACTTTAAAATCAAGGATATGCTGAAAAGTTAAGCATGTTTTTGTCATCGTATCATTATGCCCAATTAGAGGAATACACATGGTATTGAAAGCGTAGTGTACAAAGTATATTAAAGTAGTGTATGTTGTATTGTGATCTTTATAGTGGTTACCAGTTGCATGTGTATCAGCATGTAGAAGTAATGCGAACTCACCAGGTTCAGGAGCACAATAGTCTCATTCACTTTCTCTATCATCCGGAACACCCTGTACAAGAATAGTTCATGATAGTTACCAAGACCTAATCATAAATAAACACATTTACAACGCAGTGCAGGCCAAAACCAGATTGTTTCGGCAACCAATTGGTACCTAGACAACTTATAGACTTGCTTTTGATTTGTTTTCTTGTTTGTTTGTTTAATAAATTAGCACACAGCTAGTACAGGTTACATTACAATAATAAATGCAAATGATAAACTTTCGACTGAGGCGACCATTTAAACGGCGGGTACATAAAAAGTGTATTTAGCAAGTGTGTATCTGTAGACTTTTAAACCACACTTTTACACTACAGAACATATACAGCTTTAAAAGCTATAGGCTATACAGAATCCAATATTGGTCGCTCGATGACCTGCAGCCAGTGAGAAAAGCGGTCTCACCAGGCGTGCATGTCCCAGGTAGAGGACACCAGACCAAACGATATCGCGTAGACCAACAGTTTGAACCAGATTTCTCCTAAACCAGCCAGGAGGTTCTGTAAAGTAAAGAAAATATCAGAACTTTATCACAAGCATTGAAATCGGTAAAAAGGACCTTGGGTATATGAGGATACGGGTATAATTAAGGAAAGTAATCTCTAGATACAGATAGAAGCATTATATACGGGCATAGTTTTGACAGCGAGATACGAAGAGTAAACTATCTCTATATATACAGAATACAAACCCTGGATATGGGAGGATACGTTATTGTTCAGGAGAGTAAACCCTAGACATAGGAGGATACGGATAGTTTAGGAAGGGATATGGGAGGATACGGATATAGTTTAGAGGGGATATGAGAGGATACGGATATAGTTTAGGATATACTGAATATCGAAGTATACGGACATAAGTGTAGTAGAGTAAACGCTAAGTATTGGAGGATATCGAAACAGATATAGTTTAGGAGAGTTCTACCTCATTTTCGGCGATTTCTGAAACAGCCTCTCCCGACAGGGGAACGATCTGTTAAAAAGAGAATAAGAATTCTTTAAACTTGTAAACCAGGCATGATTTTGTGACTTTTTTTATTCATATCTTTGAACACTTTGGATTACTTAGTATTCTGTCTACGCATTTTCCAACTGGCTCTCATTATCCCATACGACAACATGTGAACATGTAGCGGATAACTAAAGACACGAAATGACAGTCTTTCTTCAGAACTCTTCTTTAAACCTATACCAAGGAGGTTCAATCCATCTGCCTTAGAGACACACACAAACACGTCTTGTCTTAAACCATAAATTCAGGTCTTGTATACAATTCTCCTTGTAACAGTGGCATGTCAAACAGTAGAAGACAAAGTAAGCAAACGCCATGTTTACTCTGACATTAATGTTTCACAGGATAGTGCACCACTCCATAACCTGTGTTTAGCCTCCTTCGCAGACTTCTGATACAGCGGCGTTCATTTTTTCGGGGAGCGACGCAAGTTATGCCGCGGAGTAGGGACGGTTTTGCTGCCGAGGGAGTTTGGCTGGGAGAGACGGCGGCAAAACCGTCCCTCCGCGGCATAACTAGCGTCGCTCCCCGAAAAAAATTACGCCACCGCATCAGAAGTCTGCGAAGGAGGCTAACCTGTGTTAGACAATCTCTCAGTCTGGAGCTTTCTTTTTTTGACATCAAGCTTCTGTATGTGGCCGGGCGGCTTGGCTGCTATATTTAATGTCAGGCTATCCCTTTCACAATGTCTTCGGCCGTCGCAATCATGCGTATTTGTATTTTGTCTTCAGTGACAAATTATTTTACAAATTTGATCTCTATTTGTAGCACAGATAAGACCAAGGAGTCAAGGACAGGTAATTATAGACAAGGCCCCCTCTATGTTTCCCGCTATTCTACATCGCAAGGCCAGTCCCAAGACAATTTCACTTTCTTATCACGCAATCTGTCATGATAATTAATGCATGAGACGTTTTATCTTTTATGACTTCTCAATCGCTCACGACATGCAGATTTACATCTAATTTGCCAGATCAAATGTCGAGCCATCCCCCACGAGGATCTTGTTTTTGCATTCTTAATTTTTGTTTTGTAGTACTAGTATATTTTGGAATCCAGATATTTTAGGGCCTGTACAAACAACTCAAGCATCTTTACCAACATACTCCCATAGGCAGCCCCTACGTGAAAACACCTTAGCAATAAATCAATGCCGGCAAAATCACCGTGATGGGTTTAGTTGGCCTGGCGGGGATAAAAGCTCGAAGTGCCGAAGAATCCCAGGGAGTGACCGGTGACCAGGTCACCCATAGTCAACAAATACAGTAGCGATTCTCTGTGACTAGGCAGTTAAACAAAACATTACCTTCGTACAACAGCACAATGTTAAATTATTTTTACAGATAAAAGGCACACTAGTTGTATTCTGTGACTAATTTATTTCGTTTGACGATCTTACACTCAAACTACTAATAAGCTATTTAGACATAATTTGACGAAATCTTGTTACCTATCAGTCTGAGAGTAACAGTAGTGTTTGTTCAACAAACAAAACAATCTTTCTGCACCTCGACATTTAGAAAAGAAACACATGAAAAAATAAAATAGTATCCAAATAAAGAGTCTTCAGTCTTCTCTTCCCACTTTGTTACTAGTTTTCATTACAAGAACCATGCATGATATACCAGGGACATTTTATCTGGATACTAGTATACAAATTATACTGCTATATCTTATTGTTCTCATCCAACTACCTTTAAACTTACCATAATAGTGGCAACGATGGAAAAGATGGCGTCGGAGTAGGCCTGAGGTCGCTCCGCCGGTGCAACATGACGCTCCCTCGCCATGGTGCTGTCCCCGCTGTCCTGGTCTCTCTTATTTTCTTCTTATCCTTCCGTACGACAAAGTGCCAGGCGCCGCGTCTATTTCAGGTAAAGAGTCAAACTCCTGTTACTAGTATTGTGCCGGCACCTTGTGTGTCCTGATACTAACCTTTGGACCAACCGTGGGGATCAATACACGGGACCTCACACGTGTGAAGGACAGGCGTTTTGAGCGACGAATTCTGATTGGCCGTATACAGATATACAAATATACAAGCACATCATCGTATGACGCAAGCGGCTAATATAGATCTGTTAGGTCATTACTTATATAGGTCAGGAACGGATGAGTGGTTGTTTATATCAAGTAAAAGTTATCACGACTTTTCATTGACGCCATAATAACTATTATATGAATTTCTGAGACCAGGTGTTGGCGGGTAAATTGATTACGACAGCAGCTTGTTGGCATTTTATCCAACATGGCACCCATGAAAAGCCTGTATAATTGATGAGTGGTCAGTGAGAGAAGCCGCTCGCCACAGGTTAGGTATATTTGTTAGTGGTTAGGCACTAGTGGTAACTCTGGTATGGGTCCCTGTTTCAGTATACGTAGGGAAGAGGTGGAAGGGGGGGGTCACTTTCTAGTGTTGGCTTCAATTCAAATGTCATAAGTCTCGTCTCGTTTGGTAAGATTTTTCTCTGTTTTTCTGTCACGCCAAGTAAAGGCCAAGCCTATGTAGGAAGTACGATTTGGTTTCGATACCCTAAACCATACAACACAGCACAACACATACAAATATACAACTGATATGTATGATCGGATTTGACTAAGGATATGAAGATATTTACCTGAGAAAGACGCCGGCGTGGGTTTCTTTCAGACGGCGTGGGCGCTTCTAGGATTCACCGGTGAAAATCGCGATTAAATGGATCATAATTTGAACTAATTGTGCGCCAGAAACAGAGGAATGTGTCCGAGTCTGAATTGAGGGGTTTTGGGGCGGTAAATAAAAATAAAAGTGACTAGAAAAAAACGTTTATCGGACAATGGCAGGGCTAGTGACGCCACCGCGAAGGTATGGAAATGTTGCGGTGACAATGAATAGATGGCGCCGACTGTGGGGACGACAGAACGCCGATAATTAGTTTACAAAGGGTGCCGAGTCTAGACAAAAGCTGAGAACATCGGTAAGAATTTACATATATGAAACTGAATGGCCTGAGTCTCACAGCACGATATACAGCAAAAACAAGAACAAAGAAATCGGAGCCTGGAAGTTGAGAACGGTACCAGTCATAGGTTATTTATATTTGTTAGAATCGCGAGTGGCTAGCTAACTTCTACACATGCACTAGGCTCTAGGTCCCCGTTTCAAAGGTAAAAAAAGGACCAAGGTCCTTTCTTGTGCATATTTGGCGTTGAAAACATATCTCCATGTTCGGTTACATTACAAACTAGAGTTCCCCGATCTCATACCTTCGCCAAATGATATTAATTTTATGACTGACAAATTATAGATGATTTCCCCCCGATTTAACAAATAGGATTCTTATTTTCTTAACTTATACCAGTTTATCATCTTCTCAACCAAAAGACAGTCTTATATTAACAAACAATACCATTCCAGCATTTCCTCGTAAATTATGCAAATGAAGTCCTGATTTGAATACACTGAACTTTCAAATATCACAAGTATGAAATTCCAGGCAGTTATCATTCCAGAATTATAAAATTTTCTCATTAATTATGCAAATTAAGTCTTCATTCAGCTGCATTCCTATTATGGAATGCAGCTGATTTATAGAATTTCCTTATAAATTATTCAAATTACATCCATATTTGCATAATTGCATAATTATATCAAGCGTCACATAAACTACTTATATACCAAATATCACGACGATCCGTCAACCGGTTCTAGTGTTATCCTCTTTTATTTTTTTTTCAAGCCGCTAGGGGGCCCAAACTCAAGTCACTTCTTGCCCAGCACAAGAGCTAATTTCGTCAGCCTAGCATGTCTAGATCATGAGATATCAAAACCGGAAGTTCAGCCTCAGTACCATAACAAGCCGCTAGGGGGTCCAAAATCTAATCATTTCCAGGTCTCATCAAGACCTACCCACTTACCAAGTACCAAGACAATCGATATTTATCGTGTTTACAGACAAACACGCAAACAGACAGACACACACACACACATACACGAACGCCTCTGAAAACATTAACCTTCTTGGCGAAGGTAATCTTGTCTAACCTGTTTTCTATGGCGGGTGCTAATCGTTTAAGGTCGTGGCTGATTGTGTTCGCCCAGGCACGGTCTATTACCCGCACTTTGACACGTAACGTTACGTGCATTTTCCCAGCTAAACATAAACCAATTTCTGAACAAAATTTTAGTCATTTTCATGTCCGTAGCCAGGATTTTGGTTTGGGGTAGGTGGGGTTCTTCCTACTTTCCGAGGGACCAGCGACCGCCGAAGGCGCGAGCTTCCTCGTGGCTGGGGGCATGCTCCACAAAATTCTGAAAATTGAACCTTCTGAAATGGCATTTCCTGCGTTCTTGAGAGGATTTCAAAGAAAGAACCAGAGACAAATAGAATTCCAGCGATTACTTTGTCCCGAGGATACCCATTGACGCTCTACAAGGTAAGATTACAAGTTGAACCCAAAAGAAGTGTATTCAGCTAGGGGAGAACCTTCTGTCACTAAAATCGTCCAGTCTTTTCAAACAGTTAGCAACGATGATAGTTAATGAAAAATAACGTGTGGCTACGTAGTCTGGCAAACCTTCCAGAGATTTAGAATTTGTACAGTGAATATATACCCACTTGTGAGGCACAGGTTGGTCAGCAACCTTAGAGATCGCTAGCTAGCTACACATGTAGCAACATGAGGTTCCACCATGCAAATGTCAAAATGTCACCTCTGACATGGGAGTGGCTTTGGGAGTGGCTTTGAACAAACATCACCGTGTTGGAAGGTGCAAATTTTCCTGTATTTAGGTATTTAACTATTGTAAAGGAAAGAACTGGATCTTGCAAATATGTAATCAAATTATGCAAATTAGGTCCTGATTTCAATACATTATGTTTAACTTCACTTAACTTTCAAATACCTAAGTATGAAATTCCAGGCAGTTATCATTGCTGAACGCCTACGAAAACATAACCTTCTTGCCGAAGGGAACAATACAAAGCAATTTGGTACATGATATTCAGCGCCACCTAGCAGTCATGAGAAGTAGAGCAGTCAGTGTTGCCATGAGAAAAGTAGCAGGAATGTTTAGCGAAACTTTGTCACGTAGGTATTTCTTAATATTTCGTAAAAACAAAACGCGATATATGTATATTTTTCAAAGAAATCATTATGAATTCCCTATATTTCACAATATCGTCACATAGAAGAATACGGAGATACTAGTAATATTGTCAACGCTCTACATGTCCTAAATCTTTAAAAACCCCTTTGGAGTTTTTTCACACGGATGTCATCGGTGTGCCTTCTTTCATTGCTCGGAAACTCCCGGTGTTGGTCTGTATATCAGACAGTTGCTGGTTCTTGTCCTCAGCTAACTTTGCTTCGCCCTTTTCCATACGTTTCTGGAACGGTAAAACAAACGCCATGACAAGAATAAACTGTCTTAAAACTATCTAAAGAATTAATCAGCAAATAGAAAATGACAACAACGCTGAATTAAATATTATTACCGTGTTTTACCGTATCTATTGACGAGACCTCAAGACTATTTCAACGGGACTCTGTCCATACTGACATTGCCATACCGCCGTGTCTGTCTATGAGTTTGTGTTAGCTTTTTTTACATAAAAGATTAACTACTTAATGTTTATACCTGGGCTAAGTTACGTATCAGCTTCATGATGATGAAAACGCCAATCATGCTGATCTGAACCTGTTGAGGAATAATTATAAAAAAGGTTAAAGTAAGAATACAAAATTCGACGAAAGTTGTGTGTAAATACTACGTTTCAACCCTTTTTACTAGAAGCGACGATCGCTATATTGTTTAGTACACGGTAAAAGTGCACTACATTTATATGTTACCGATGGTTTGATATGATATTGTAAATATTTATTCATACCCAGTTGATGACGTCAGAGTTTATGGGAGAAAAGAAGCACAGGCAGAAGATCACCAAGCTGGGAAAAAACATATCATGTTTCTTTATTATTATAATAAAGATCTTAAAATCATTGTTATGATTTTGTAATAAACTGAAACTCAAACTGTGTCAAATCATTGTTGTCATATTTTTCTCAATAAGCATCTAAGAAAACATTCTTTCACCATTCATTTATTAGCAGCCCAACGGAAAGCAGGCCAATACCACTTCCAGACCATATTTGGCGTACGGTATAACATGTAACTTACCTGATAACAGGGTATATGGACAGGTATGCGATCATGAATATGTTGGACATAGTCGTGTGGGCTGCTGGATGGAGAAGCTCAGACCTATATACATGTGAGATGGGAAACATCATTTAGACCGTGAAGTCCTGCTTTACAAACAAAGGCTTTATACAAAGAACAACGCATTGGAAGATGACCATCTTTCAATAAAAGTGTGTCAAACTTCTTTTTTTTGCAAAAATAATTTTCACCCAAAAATGTTCCCAAAATATTAAAAGAAAAATGTTTTTCAAAAAAAAGTTTCAGAGTCACTTTTTACAGCAGGCCGCAATCCACATGGTCAGCAGCCAGACACTTGCCAGGAAGACAACAGCGCTGTTCACCTGGACAGCTAGGGACGAGTTACCTGTACCAACCTGGGAGGACAGACACAGCGTCATTCAGTACATCAGGTAAGGCCAACATTTCGATATTTTACTTGAGTACAATGATACGTTTTATGAAATGATCCATCAAGAGTTTATCATTCGAATCACAGAATTCAATGTCATTTCTATGTTTATTGTCGTTGTATTCTAATAAAAACAGAAACACCAACATTTAGAAAGGTTACACAGACTGTAAAAACAGACCTCTTTTCCGAACTGCCCTGTCAACTTGAACACGATTGGCAGGTACCCAGCAAACAGGAGTGCCTACAAACAAACAAACAAACAAACAAACAAACAAACAACAATGCCAGCTTTACGAAAACCCAAATATGCTACAATGTATCAGAAACGCAATGATACTAGTAATATGGGAAACTAGACAGCTTTTAGTTTTATTGGTTTGGTGCAATTTCTTTATCAAATTTGAATATAAGTCACTTCAATGAGCAATAACAACTTAAAGCTTTACTGTATTCAAGGGTAGTAGTCTGATGCTTCATGACATTCATTAATCTTATTTAGATTAGGTCGTTCCAATATTGTGAGTTCTCACGAAGGAAGCACAGCGCTCTTATGACTAATCGTGTGGCTCATCTTCTTCAATTAATAAAATAGCAGAAAACAAAACGTCTCACCATCTTATTACAGGTCAGGACTATGGAGTTCTGGGCACGGATATGCTGTGAGAGTTAGAATGGCGGTAAAATCGATATCAACACCAACTTCGTGAAAATACATTCCACGCGTAATAATGACATGGACTGTGGAACTGTTGATACTGATACGTTAACGTGACACTGCGCAATACGAATTAAAAAAAATGTACTTACACGGAACATCGTATGATGTAGGTACCATAAAAGACCTGTATTTTGAGGAGAAACGATTAATGAATCCAAAAAGCATTTTGAAAGATGCAAAGTCACAACAACAGCAACTAGTGGGACGATAGTTTGCACAGTGTATCCCATAATACTCACATACAGTCACGAAGGTTCCGACATACGACAGGAACACTGGTGCATCACGGGAAAGAGCCTTTACCACACTTCCGTGCAACTGCACATGCGCAGCGGTCGGAACATTGTTCACGCTGCACACACAGGAATATAAACAAACATTCCACAATAAGAACAAAGTTTCAAAAGCTGTGACGTAAAAATGAAAAGTTGATGATTGACACTTCTTTTCTGTTCGCACCATATATCCAGAATGATGAGGGTGGCAACTATGGAATACACGCCGTCACAGAAACCTGAAAAACAAATATGGTCAAAACTATTATTTGCGTTCGTCCAGTCGAAGTTCCTAAGTTACCATATTGCAGAGAACATATCATAGCGAATCAAAAGAAAAGCAATACTCATTTTTTATTCGTTCTATATGTATTTGAAAAATTGTCACAAAATATCTTTACAAACTAACTAGTTACATTTAATTACTTACAAGACAGTCTGGACGTTTCTGCTGTTTCGGACACCAGACGATACGGGTTCATTACCTTCAGACCATGGCTCTTCTTTCCTTGGAGGAAAAATATGAATGACATGATATTAGACCATTCCCATCGTTAGTAACAAGTCATGCATATTTATATTTACAGCAAAAAAATTATTACTAGCAAACACAACTGAATTGTTGTTAACGATTTATTTGAATGTTTAACAAAGACTTCTTTAACATCTATATGCATCAAACCATGGCGAGGAAAGATCCCAACCTCTGACACAGTGGTAGATGGCTTCCCCAATCTGACGGAGACCTGGCTCTAGCATCAGCAGAACTAGAAAGGCCCATGCCTATAGATGGGAAATACATGTACACAGAAATACTAGTATATATATACATGTCTCGTACTCACATACTAGTTGAAATGGTTAATTGATTTCGCTCAAATCTCGAAGCTGAATAGACTTTATAAATATAATAGATAATATATATTATATAAAATATGATACATAGATGCTTCGTACGTTAATAGTACTAGGTGAACGTCATTACTTTGTATCTGTTTATTTTGTTTCAAATATTGTGCTTACGGTTTCAATGGACCCTATACTGGCCAGAGCTGCTATGACGGCTATGATAGGTTTGATCATCACCATCAACAAAAGCCGGCGTCGTTTGGAAGTCTGAAAACAGAAGACATGTTAATCAACAAATGAAATCCTACATCTGAGTGGTTACAAGTACACTACATAACGTTACACTAAATGCCAGTTAACCGGGAAATATTCTATTTTTACTATTTTAACACCATCGGACATACCAGATGACCTGATTCAGTTTCTTCTTCGTCGAGAAGGTTGCTTCTGCCGTACACCTGCCAGACAATAGTAGCCTGTACAAAAAGAAGTACAAAGAGCTGAATAATAGATAATAGACAAAATACACTACCTATATCTGATTAAAACTGCTGCAAGATTTGACTTTAAAGAAATTACTTACTCTTTATTTTATTCACATTTATTTTTCGAGGATTGGGCAAAAAGTTACTTACTCTTTGGAAATTTCTCTGCCAGTAGAGATCAGAAAGGTGTTGAAGGAAATTTTGCTTTATTAAAACATATTTGTAGAAAACATACCATGAAAACTCCGACGACAGCAATACAACCACAGAATATAGAGATGGCGGCTGGCTCTCTTGGATACTCGGCGATCATCAGAAACTATAGATAACGAAATTTAAGGCAAATTTAACGTCACCACAGTTATGTTACGTACGGCAAAACTGTAAAATTTGCATTTGTAAACGAAGCATGCAAAGGATATAGACTGTTATATGCTTAGGTCATATCTGTCATTATCATACACTTGTTATTTTACTCACGTAAACTTCAAGATGTTCATACGAATAGGGATAAGAAATCGAATGATAGTCGGTACTCACGGCAAATGGTAGGAACGTCACAACCATTAAAACTCCCTGTAGAATAGGGTACAGACAAAATCAAGTTAACGTTCTTTATTCACTACCAAATGTTCCCGAGTCTGTCACCTTTCTCAGGGCTACACTGACCGGGTACTGCAGCTAGGTGTCGCTGCTACTGCCGTGTTTGGAAATTAGATGAAGTGTGTGGTAAACGTTTGTTAATGCAAAACAGAACTTTGATTCATTACACATTGCAACATTCGTATGACAACCCCCTGTCTCCATAAGAAATTAAAAGGGGCATGCCAGTAGTCAATACCTGTAATTAAGCCAAACAAAATGCACACTGCCACACCGCCTTAATTTTATAGATGGCATCCGCGCGCGCATTGATTTTCGTCTGTTCTCAAAAAAAAAAAGATCACGTCTGGCCTGGCTCTAGGCTTGGGTAGTCATGGTAGTTAGCGACTATATGGAGCCGGCCGCCCAGGCTACCCAAGCTCCACGAGTACGACTCAATAACTCAGTACATACGTACAGTGCCGATTCATAAATTCCGCAAAAAGCCAGCATGTACCGGCGTGTCGTATACAGCTTTGTATTCCTGTGGTTTAGTAGCATTTTTATTTTTGGCCGGAATTTTTTTTTTCATTCGCTCACTAGTTTGGGGGTCTTCAGAGCATGTCATCCATACAATTAAGTCGGTGCGGCCTAACTTTATACATACCAGGTTTAGAAGCACGATCGTTTCGTTGACTTTCTCAATGTGCCGAAATACCCTAGGGTAGATAATAGATACACACGCTTTTAAACATAGGCATATTACTTAAAGTACACTTACGTCGATGGATGCTTAAAAGCACAGTTTATATTATTATGTACGTTTTAGTGCAACAATAAAGACCAAGACAAAAATATTTTTACAAATTGTAAACCTGGAAGAGGGGGAGGGATGTATCGTAACGTCTCACTTTAGTTCCGAGAGCACGTCAGCAGAACGTACTGCGTCTGCGCGAAACCCTGATTTTAAACTGTTTTCGTTAGATGTTTGGACAATGTTGCATCAGAACTTTGCCTGTTACAGATTATATTTTTTCCTACATAACATTTGGAAACTAAAGACGGGATATTTACCTTATACTCGTACATGTATTCGCGAATATGACATTATGTGATACGTTCTGCCGATCGAAGTGCTATGCACAATACATTATGGGTTTCGCGCGGTGCAGTACGTTCTGCGGACATGCTAGTCCGAGCAAACTGCCTGACCTGGTGTGAGTGTCCCAGGTAGAGCTCACCAGGACAAACGCCAGCGCGTAGATCAACAGTTTGAACCAGATCTGAAGCAAACCTGCCAGTAAGTCCTGTAAAATAAACAACGTCTACGTATCTTTTCTCCCTGACCCTTGTAACAAAACGAAAATGGTGTGGTACTGCGATTATTTCGTAACGCTGCCTCTCTTTTTGGCCCCTTTCAACATTCACTTGCTTATTGTTACAGATTTGTTTATAGATTTGACATAACTCTCGGGAGGGTGGAGAGAGTCTTATCTTTTTCAGGCATCTTTCTTGACGTCTGTTAGGAATTCATCGACTTTTAAGCCATCAGCAAATTTTGCCGAAAGTAGTCGACACACTGTCTCCGGCGTAACCACTGCTTATTGATACTATCATAATCCTTTCAACAGTCTGGGACAGTGTTCTGAGAAAATCCAATTTTCAATTCAAATATGCTTAACTTTGGAATAAATTATTCATATTCAGCCTTAATCAAATCTACGTATACGCACTTTAAATTTCATGGATGGTCATAAATACATCGTGGTGATTATGAAACAACGTATTAAGGTCAAAGAAGATCACCTTCTCTTTTATACGTCTGTGTACGGATGTTTTGTTTCTGATGTGTTTGTTTGTGTGCTTGCTTGTGTTTCCATAGTTATTTTCACATGTCATGCGTTGGGGACACTGACAGGAACTTAGGACAATGGTCCTAGAAATGTCCCAGAAAGGTTATTTCCTGACTTGCTTCACGTCTTTTGCTAATAGTATATGCATGTTTGTTTCCCGATGAGAGCCGATAGAAAAATGTATTAGGCAGAATGAACAAGAAACAAATAGCAATGAGTAAATTATAAATAAACAAGAAATGTAACAAATCTCAAAACATGCCACGGCTTCAGGTATGAAAGCTTTGATTTTCTTTTCCTAATAAAGGTCTAATTGTAGTTTTACACTACCTTACTTCCAGCAACCCCTTGTACAGCCTGACCGGACAGTGGTAGGATCTGGAACGGCATGTGAAACACAGTGAGATGTTGTCATTTTCAGTCATAAAGCCACAGCAAGTAAATTTTATGGATGACATCCTCCTTCAAATCTGATGCGAAAGGGCGAAACGAAAACAAGGCGGGCCCAAAAAAACAAGATTCCTACATTGTCAAATTTGACATTCTAAACCTTGTTAAACTAGAAATGATAACTACATTGTGCTTTAGTTTACTGCCAACTATTACAACATCCATTTATCACTGATCTGAAACAACTTTGAAAAAGAAAAGGTTTTTAATCATTGTATAAATGGTTTTGATTCAGCTAGTGAGAACATATATAAAAAGAATGAAATGCATCACTGCATCAAAGTCAAAGACAAAACAATAAATCAGAGCCTTGTTTTGTTTTAACTCTTCATATTTATCCATACATATCCACCTTCCAGCATGGCAACAGACATCTTTGCTCATTTTCGGCAAGTTGGCCACTGTCAAAGGGCTACAATTTTTGTCCCAAAATCAGGCGAAAATCAATGCTCGCGCTGATGTCATCCATAAACTTTACTTGCTGTGGCCTTGTGACTATATCCCTCAGGGATCACCTACTGATCTGCCATGTTAAACCCAGGACGTAACGGTCCTAACACACGCAGGCAAATGACCTACTTATCGACTATCCGCACGCAGTTATGAATGATTTACAAAACAGTCATGTTATGAACCTTTTACTGTCACTTTCTATAAGTCAGTCAAGGTCTGCGTTCTGTATTTTTGTTTGGAATTTAAGTTAAAACTAAAGGGCATGGTCAAAATAAGTCATTGCTTTAGGTCAAAACATTAGTTGTCTATTAAAAGCCTCAAGCAACTATGAATGATTTACAAAACAGTCATGTTACAAACCTTTTACTGTCGCTTTTTATAGAATAATAATTCAGTAATTTTTGATGCTCGTGGAATTTCAAATCAGAGAAAAGGCCTTGGACCAATAAGGTCATAGACAATAGGGTCATAAGTGAGTGGGTGTGGTGTGTACCTTGTGCTAGGCAGATAAATGTAGACTACACCAATTACATGGACTATATAGGGAACAATATCGGCAATCTAAGAGTCGTACATTAAACGATGTTGATTCCCGTTGAATTAGAAATCTTTAAAGGTGACACCAAGGATATCGTATATGTATCATATTCATATATATGTCAAGACTCCGTTCAGGCTTTCGTATTAAGGCTACAGGGTATTAAACTAGCAGTACTTATAATTATATATACGTGGACATATATACAAATGCCGGCCTATAAACATTTACAGAAATGTGTATGTAAGTGATTAGACTATCTGCATGTACAATCAGTGATTCTACCGGGAAAATCCTGACCAGAGTATGCAAATGTTTCTGTGCATTTCGGATATTGGCTCAAAAGAAAACCAGAAATTAGGTTCGTGTCACTTCAGATCAATGGATGGTTTTATACTTCTTACTTATAAATGTGTGACCATAACAACACATTCCTTACACTCCGTTCGTGATCTCTGTCGACAGAGACTTTCCTACCCGGACATGTATCCGTAATGCTACCGCAGTGTACGCCTCTCAAAAGACGACCGTTGTAGCCACCCACTAAAATCAATAAAATACCATAACATTGTACACCAGTAGCCTCCACAGCCTGCCAAAAACTGGGGGTTTTGGGGGTCTTCAGGGTCTTTGTGAGCTTTTATGTGCTATTTTCTGATTGCATATAGACAACATAGCTAGCCTGGTTGAATTACTCCCGTTTTTTTTTAACTGGGCTAATCAGAAAACAGCCGAAGACCACCCAACCCCCAGTTCTATAAGCCTGCTACGGAGGCTACTAGTACACCAGCCCCACAGTGGAACAGTTAACGGAGATGTGCTTTCAGTCTAGATTTTATTCTAGGAACTGAAGTCTACAGTGAAACAAGTGGACGCGAATCTAACAACGATGATATTTAGACTAATAATCATCTTACCATGATGGTGGCGACTATGGCGAAAATGGCGTCGCTGTAAGCTAGGGACCTCTCCGAAGGGTTGATGTGGTCTTCTCTCGCCATTTTTCTGACCTCAGGTCACTTGTGGACCGCGCTGTCTTTATATATATCCTCTAGCCCTCGGCTGTGGAGATCTTCAAGCAGATACAACGGCCAGTTTTAAACCCAGTCAGACGATCCGATACGAACGCTTGTGACATTAGACAGAGGGCTAAATCAAGTCTAACAATCACCATGGGCGATTCTGTGTATATTTACTCCGAAAACTTTAGCTGTCATTTGCTTAAGGCTTAAAGGCAAACGTTTTCGCTTCCAATTGGTTGACTGTATTCTAAAGTGTGGAGCAAACGTTTAGACAGTTTGTATAAAATGATAATGAAATAAGAATCCCAAATAAATGCATAAAATATCATATGTCTTATATAACCATGTTTTCGTAAAATAAAAAAAAATCTGTTCTTCTAGTACATTGTAGTCTACAGTCATCTAAAGGGACAAATCAATCGGATGTAATCCACCAATTTGATGACAACACTTGTCTTTAATCACGAGGTAAACCGCGGGCATTCTGACATCTGTCATTTGCCTACATGTCAATCATTTGTTGTGAACAGATAAAGTGTATTGATGATAGATACAGAACCTAACGTTATCTATCAATTCGTTGACTTATCCCTTGTGTTCAGCAAGTTTAGCACGTCAAATTTACAACGTATATGCTGAGAAATCTACTTGTTTTAGTCCCACTATACATGCATGTGCGGTTTATCATTGACGTTCAGTTTGTACATGGTGACACTGTGCACACATGGTGTGGCTGGTACCAACCGGTTAGGGTCGTATGACGTCAGAAGTATGACTTAAAAGGATTGTCGCGTTGTTTTGAATCCATAGTAGTGACTATCTGTCACAGTAAGTTCAGTTTAACGCCAACCATCTGTATCGCTTGAGGTAACAGTACACGGTACTTAAAGGCGTCGAAGGTACTAGTAATCACATTGGGTTAGGGTGTTATATTTGCAGGACCCTGCTGTAATAATCTTTTGAAATGCTAGTTGGCGCTGTTGATCCACTTTATATCAAATACGAAATGTTTTTTCCGTATTTGCAATTAGCACTCGGGTATGAATTTGCAATAAAACGATTATTATTATTGTCTTCGTCAAGAAGGGTATGTGGTCCGTATGGTGTGGGTCCGTATGTAGGTCAATGTTATAACTCGATTGTGTGTCGGCGCATTTCCTACCATTCGCCAAGAAGGTTATGTTTTCAAGGGCGCTCGTGTGTGTGTGTGTGTGTGTGTGTGTGTGTGTGTTTGTGTGCGTGTGTGCGCGTGTGTGTGTGTGTTTGTGTGCGTGTGTGTGTGTGACTTTGGATAATCTTGCTCGCGGACTAATACAAAAACAGTCCGCTTGTGTGTCCTTGATTGCATGTCCAGTGTTGGAGCGATCAATATGAACTTATAGGTACATTGTACAAAGTTACGCAGAGCTAACTTAAGCAGATACGTAATCAGGATTTTGTCAAAAATACGACGATGACGTAGTCGCCTTATGTCTCTTAGCCACGATCTATTTTGTAAACTTTTCTTTCTTTCTCCAGAAAAAAGCCAACAAAATAGAAGTCGGGACGGATAAACGTAGAAAAAAGCGATTTACTAATAGACGAAGGATATTCAATCGAACGTTCAATGACTATTTTGGGTCAACTTTACAACTTCTGTTAGTTTCAACTCTGTCTTACTGGTCATGTTAATTCAGAGACAAAAAAAATGTTTGAAATCCATTTCTTTATCGAGATTCCATATTCGGTCAATACATAGCAACTGTGTCAGCTGAGTCAATAGACAAACAAATAGGCCACATGGAGAATAATCCAGTACACTAGTGTCTAAAGATTAATTAAGTACTAACAATTAATTTTTAGGCGCTAGAAATGGCACAATGAATGTGGCTTGCGTCTTCCGCAATCACGCTGGGCCACTCTAGGTAAGTTTGAGTGAGTTGGGGTCTTTGCTCCACCCTAAAAGTACCGTGAATGCCCATGAAGTTGTCAAACCCCTTAGACATAGTTTCAGACATAGCTATAGCTTTAGACAACTACCTTTTATCATGTAGATTTTAGTTATTTTATATGTTTCATTGTTTTTTATGTTTGTAATTTGCAATTAGCCCCCGGGCACGAATTTGCAATAAACTTCTCCATATCTTTATTTAGTAATCGTAAAACAGTTGGGTTGAACAACTGATTTCTAAGGTAGCCCAACAAAACAAGTTACAAAAGAAATTATAGACATAAAAGAAGTCACATTGTGTACAGTGAGTGTGTGGCATAATTAACATAATAATAATCAAATAATGTCAATAAAACGACTCCAATATAAAAGACAGTAGTGCCTATTTTATTCTCAGTTCATACGTGAGTGTCAAAAGAGCAGGTCTTGTGCTTCAAAAACGCCGTTACTACTATAGAAAATATACAATTATGCACAGCGCTAGGCATCTACATTGACTCACAGAACAAAATACTAGCAGTCTGATAGATCACTCTTCAAGAACAACTATTTCCAATCTATTTTTAGCGAAAGCATTTTGTACAAAGCATCCAGATAGGACAAAGAACCAAATTTTCTGACTATTATGTAGCTTGTTAACATCGGGAGTAGCGATTGTATACGATTTTATTATCTTATCAACGTGGGGTATTTCTATTGGACAGCATAATTTGTGCAATTTAAAATGGATAATTTATAAATAAAAACATTCTTTTTCTAGTAAAGATTGTCTATGGCTATGTTAATTTGAAGTACTTCCATGTAGAGTTTATGTTTCTGGTAGAAAATTAAAAAATTATTTGTTTGTAGAAGCACAACATATGGCAGATATTTGTTCTTTGTCCCTTTCGTTCTCAGAAAAAAAAGTGTTTTATCTTGAAGGCAAAACCTATAAGTATATGCGGCAGCCCTTTTGAAATTTACTTTTCTCAACGTTGCAGGCAATTATTTCTATTGGAAAGATGCATATGTCTTGTTTTCTACTAGTTCTACATTCAATATGGAAATAATCTAATATCTGTTGAATGTTTATATAACTTGGCGTTTGTGATGTTATATCATATGCTTCTTTGAAAGCTCAGAATGCAAGCTATGAACGAAATACCATATGTCCATTCTCAGCTACGAGAGGGATATATGTCTTAGACATCAAAAACATGACATTTCAGAGACATTGGAAAGAACAGTGTATTTCTCACAACACTTAAACCACAGCTCTCTCATATTAATGTATAAACATCGTGATGTCTCTATGACAGGGAATGTACGTAGCGCATGATGCATTTCAACACAAGATCGCTAGGAGCGTTTTTGCTTAGGGATGTTGGCACCACGACGAGGTATCTTCGAATTGTTGGAACAAACGTAAATGTGTATATGTGCAATAACACTAAAATACTACCGTGTGCGAATCTTTGGCGTTGTGTGTTTGCTAGAGGGAAACCTTCTACATTGTACATTTATACCAATTACCTTCTTGGGAGCTTTCACTTCCTATAAAATTGGAATCGTTTTTGGGCCCTCAGTAATAATTCTACACGATGCAGCAACCATTACGCATTTTTCTAAGACATTTCAAAGTGTTGCCAACACAGCTGTACAGTGCATTACATAAAGCTTGCAACAAATATATAATATAATATACATATTCTTTTTACATACAAAACTGTTACCCTGTGATCCGTTGAGACTAACGCTTCCATATAGTATTGTCGATGTCATCTATTATTGTAACATTTCATTACTCTGGAATCTACGTCTCGCGTGTTCTCGTGAGAACTTACGAGATTGCTGTGCTATAATTTGTACATACTTTCACACATACCAAGGCACATACGCACAAGAAAAGAAAAATAAAGAAGATACAAACACGTTCATCATAAGTTAACGTCAAATCTGCAATACTTTTTCCGTCCCGGCCTCCAAATGACTCATATAAATATGTACGTTTCAAACACTTTCAATGCTGATGCAGCTTTTTTTTCTCTTTTGTTGAAAATAGTAAGAAATGTAGAGCTAAGATTCTAAATTTAAAATAGATAGGATTATCTCTTGGTACTCAAATAGGCTTGATGTGAATATCATTGTTGACATTGTTCTGTTTCAAATTTTTCACTGCTTTACTAACACTGACCGCTCAGAGGATTGAGGTAGGTCATAATTTGAGAGTTGTCAAATGTCAACATTGCCCATATTTGGCTGCATCTTACAACTTAGAATATTGGAAAGTAGGTATTTTAGAAGAAAGAAAATGTAGATGTCGGGGCTTCTTATACAAGATTTGGCAAGAGTAAGGCTTCAGGATTTTTGAAATAATGGTCTTGAATGACGTCATGTGTCGGGATATTATATGTCAGAATAATGGATCCCTAGTGCGGCTGCGTGTTGCCTGGCACGCATGCGCAGACTCTCGATGCTGTTGATTTGCATATCCTTGCTGACTGCGGGTGGTGGGGGCACCGAGGGAGGTAGAACGGGCGGTCTGGACCAGGCTGGTTGCGGGGCCGCGTGGAAAGACGGCTGCTGATGCTGGAGATGGTCGATGCCAACATATGGCCCCGGAACCTGAATAACAAGAATGCCTGTTAATGCCATGTGACGCGTAGACGAGACCTATTGATGATGATGATGATGATGATGATGATGAAACTACAACTTTATTTATAAGTACACATGTATACCCCTACAAATACAATTACATCCACATTTACATCTACAACTACAGCAAAAAAAACTACAACCACATAACAGCTAAAGCCACAACTACAACTACACAGCAGCAACGAAAACCACAACTACAACTTTACAACCGCAACAGCTACAATTACAACGACAACTACACAGCCACAACAGAAGCTTCACTCTACAACGTCTAAACCGTCTTCTCCTGACCTGCATGTGAGTCTGGTGGTGGTACATGTGGTTGTTCAGGTTGTTGATGTTCATGGTGTGCTGTTGGAACTGCTGCTGTAGTTGTAGCAGACTGAGGGGAGAGTTGGAGTAGGCAGAGTTGTACCCGGGCGTCAGGAAACTCATCGTTCGGGAGATCTCAGGTCCTGGACAAAACAAGACAATACAGAGCAAAGGTTTACTTACATGCAAAGATATTGCTTGGCTACCTGAATACTGACGGAGGGCGCCACAATCTGCCACACACGCTCACCACTGAGTCTCGTGCCTGTAGATATGCACAAAGTGACGTCGAGAAATCAGTGGATTGATAATTTCTTTTAAAAGATCACTGTCGCACTGTCTAATTTTTTTGTGTTATATATGACTTAAAGAAGTCCATAAATGCGGGTTTTGAGATATTTTAAAGCATGTTGCCGTACCTGCACTAGTGCTTGGCATACTGGAAGCAGAGCCCCTTCTCTTTTTGTTCATTGGCTCGCTCGTCTCTGACGATGGTGTTGTAGCAGACGCCTCTTCTCTCTGGTGGATGGCATCCTCCATAGCAGATGCGCAGGCGCCATCTTCTCCTCCTTCCGACTCAGAACCGTCACTTCCGGCTGTGACGTCATTTCCGTCGTCTCCCGGCATGGGTTCTAGTGTTGACGAAGGAGTGGCGTCTAACGAGGATGGCTTCTCGGAATCGTTTGAAACTACCGTTGACGACGTCTCCTCGGCTTTGGCTTCTTCGCTGCCCTCCTTGTCTTCGTCTTCTTTCTTGGAATCTCCTTCTTTCTGGTGTTGCTGCTGCTGCATTTTCTGACGTTTCCGCCATTTTGCCCGTCTGTTTTTGAACCAGACCTGTCAATACGAAAAAAAAATGTTCTTCATTATATTATTTTTTATTTACTACTACATGATTATTGCATCAAATCAAATATCCATTAATAGTGACATTGTATATCTTCTAGTCCACTGTTGGTCACATATGCATTTAGCCCACCTGGGTAGGAATATGCAATAAAGAGTAACTAAAGAACAACGAACCTGTACTCTAGACTCGGGCAGGTTGGTGCACATGGCCAGCCTCTCTCTCATGACTACATCCGGGTAATGTGTCTTCTGGAAGCATTTCTCCAGAGCGGCGAGTTGTTGTGACGTGAAGGCGGTCCTGCTGCGGCGCTGTTTCCTGTGCTGAGCTCCGTACCGGGCCTCCAGGATTATATCTACACAAACACAACAGTCAAACATCGTCACTAACCCTCTATGTACAACTTTAACGGCATCCAATGCGATTTCAGGGCAGCAAAACTGAAAAATTCTGAATAAGGCAATCTTTATGATATTGACACATACTGCTTCACATTGACACTTTTATTCGGTATTTCATACTTCGGGTATTTGAAACTGCAGAAACAAGCGGCAAGATGAGTCCTTGGGGTGGTGGGACTTTGGCGCACTGTTATGACAACTCTGTGTATCTATATTTTAATTGAATTTTGTTTGGCGCTGTTAAAATAAGTTATAAACTAAGCTACACTGCCCTTGTTACTGTTTTGTAGTGTAATTGTAAAAACACAGTCAACATACGAAAATTGGATGTTTCTTCATCGTCATGCATCTACATACTACCTACAAGACTAGCATTTGATGATGAAAGTCTTGCTTCTGGGTGTATAAAAGTCCATTGTTTCAGTTAAAAAGATTTTATAGGGCTATGTTATGAGAAATCAAATACACTTTCTATCAAATTCTACAACATACATATCCGTCTGTATACATGTAACCTTTACCTTTAACTAAAAATAGTATACACCATCTGTAATATGCCACAGCATATACATGACACTACCCAGAATAGTAGATACAGAATGTTTACTGTTTTTATTGCCTTAGAATGATTTATTAGGCTCCACTGTTGATTATTATTATATTGTAATATCACACAAGGCATTTTCTGATCAATGGAATTTCCATACATGAAAAGAAACATGAAAAATAAAAGATTACATCTTTTAACTGTCTTGTATGATCATAACAGGACAAGATTTGTTGGCGAATCATAACAGTATAACAGACATCAAAGAGACCAGAACAGACTGTTTTGTTTATACTGGCTATATCAAAGCTACACAGTTAGCACAGTTCACGTTTGGGGTTATCCTAACAAGATCATATCTCTTCACAGCTGGTGGTAATGTCGCTATGATAAAAGAATGAGCAGACGCAGTTATTAAAACTATAGAGCTCTTCTTTATTTGCGAAAATACTCTCAAAATATCAAGTCTTTTTATAATGCTATAATGTTATCATCACTCTGCCAAATATTGATCCTTTATTTGCGTTATGATAGCTAAAGAATAGATAGAAATCCAGGATGCAGATAAAGTTAGAGTTAAAGTTAAGGACAAACTGCTGTGTTAGATATTTCCCTTCGTTGTATTTTAAGTCTTTTCTTGTCTTTTCTTTACATGTATTACAATTTTGAATTTTATATGGAAGGAGATGTCAACAGTCAAGTAGTATTTTCCATTGAATGTCAAGAAAAGACAGAGAGCTCTTAGTTCAGTTCTGCCACTATAGAATATATCCATATAGCATTGCGATATTTTGTCATATGCAGTTTTATTTTTCCTTAATCAGTTCTTGTTGTAGATTTGTGAGGACGTAAGCCACTGTCCGGTTACCTTACGTCTAACACGGCGTAATCTGACCACTCCAGATCATGTAATCGTCTCTAGGTAGTCAAACCCTGCCAATCCCGCGTCAACACCGCTAACAATGGTGGCATCGTCTCTCCTCTGCTTCAAGCATGGAGCCCCGATTAACTGATTGTCTCTGCTTAAACAGCGGGCTGAAGTGGAGTTAAGCCGCTGTTCTCGGTAGAACTTTCCCATGGATTTCCACCTCCGCTCCGGTCTAAATACCCTTGCAGCTTGGGCTGATCCCTCTCCAGCCCTCGTGGCGTGTAAATAGAGCGCGCTGGGCCGGCCTGCACCCTCACCAGCTGAATTGTCCGGGAGAGTGGTATGGCTCTTAGATCAGGCCGGCGTGGGTGCTTGAGAGAGGGCGTGAGGTGTATTCTCGCAGCTCGACAAACGTGTAAAAGCTCTTACTACTCCGTAATCCCCTCTCGATCTGTCGCGGTAAGGAGGCGTAGATCAATCAGACCATTGTCGGCAGGGCACCTGCATATCGCTAGGTGTAAAAACCACACGGAATCACCTGTGCTACGATGTTTGAGGTTAGGATTGAGGCGCGCTGGTTGACTTGGGTCCAGCTTTGTGCCGCCCCCCCGCCTGTTTGTCTAACACCTCAACTCCGGGCTAATTACGCAGACATGGAGTGTAAAGAAAAACAGAGGAGGCCAAAGCTAGCGCAAAGCGTCCCTTCACCTGGGATTAAACTGTATAAAAGGCCGGCGGTTGCTGTTTGCTGGTGTTTTGAACAGAGTGGTGTAACAAGGGTCATCGGCGAGATGGGGAAAACGACTCCTCGGAACAATGGTGCTCGGAGGGTGTGAAAAGCCGAGCTATGCGAGAACAAAAACAAAGAACAACACATTTTCAAGTGGTTGGCAACAGAGTCAATGGTGAATGTCGGATTTACGGCTGAAGGACCGACAACACCTTTCAGATTACACTGGAGTGGTGGAGATTAACACTGCGCAAGTGCAATCTGTGGCTCTTGTGCACGTTCTCTGCACGGCGCCTGACTCTGTACCCGCCCGGCCGGCTAAACTTCAAAACAACCCCAGCACTGGGCGATATGCACTGCCACAAATTACACATTGAAAAGCGAGAAGAAGTTGAATTAATAGAACGATGTTTAGTTTCTTTTGTATATGTATCAATTTTTCGTGTTTTGTTGTGACCTGTACTTAACAAAGTGTGGCAAAAATGTGCAATAAAGGTCGTCATTCATTTATAAAAGTAAAAACTTCGTGTACTTGTTCATTTAGCCTCTCTACACTTAAAGAAGCCATACAGGGCGAAACCTGCCGTGTGACAGGCTGAATAAAAGTTCTAAACGGGAACTATGCGGCTCTAGATGTCCTACTGAGGGACGAATGCTTGTGCGAGATGTCGGTTAGCTTGATTAATCCCCTTAACTACAAACTTCAAAACAGCCCCGTGTTCTTTATGCGGTTTAGAGACAATAAAATAACTTTTCTGGCGGAATTATTTCTCAGATGCCAGCATAAATACTGCACATTTCATTTAAGTCGTGTTAAAACCAATTACATGTATATTTAACTTGATTACAATTTACGATACCAAAACATGCATTTATTTCATAGCATCAAACAACTAACATAAAACGTAGTGGAGAAATTTTCTGCAGAATACATTTTTCTTGAAAACATCCCGATATATGAAATAAATGTATTTTTTTTATTTATATTTTGTGAACATGTATTGCGGAGGCAGACGACATCTATTTCGATCAGACTATTATGTAAGTAACTTTTTTCACATGTTTTGTTTTGTGATTGAAATGACAGCAATTCGCCACGTGCCAGTTATGAAATCACTAGACAAATCTCGGCACAGACCAATTATGCCTATGAAATTAATAGATAAGCAAGCAATAATTTGAAAGCAATTTCGCATTTCTAAATTGCTTTGATATCATCTGAAAACAAACTGTCACTCATCTTTGATTACTGCAAATTATCTATCGTCAACATTGCGGATTGGGTGTCACAATATCAATTCTTGCCACTTTCGTTTAATCACATTTCATGATTACTTTTTCAGCCTCCGTCCAATCATTTGTACGGTAACAATCATATCGTCCTCGCCAATCATTTACCTTATATCATTGCCTAACGACAAAAAAAAACATTTAGACTATGTTGGACTTGTAGATCAGTCATAAAACATGGTAGTAATTGCTAAACTCCCATCTAGACTTGTCCAAGTCCGTGAACGTTAAACGAACGTTCCAGGTCCCATCAGTCTGTGACAAGCGGGACCACCAACCAACCTAGCCCCGGGGACATGTCATGCCGGACCCGCTGCCCAAAATGTCTCTAGTGCTCCGATAACCTCGTGTCAGACTTCGGAATTCGATGGCCATTTCTGCTCCGTTTCTAGACGTCCTAATTTGACACCTGACCCTCGCGTCATAGTACACTTCCCAGTGCTGTGCTCACGACTAAGTCACCATCATCCTCTGTCCCGTACTCTATCCTTTTTCCCACAGTGATTTGGACGGCAAAAAAGTACATAAATCCGTGTGGGCCAATACGGCTAAATGCGGTTAATACTTTATTTAGAGAATCGTGTTTCATTTGTAGTGTCTGAGGATTTGGGAGGTGAAAATTCGGTTTAGTTCTCAGAGAGTGACACTTGGTTGGTTTGGTGTAATCGCCCGTACGGTGTTGACGAAAATGCTCTAGCGTATATATGGGGGTGTACCGTGTCATACATAAGGCCACACACAGCGCGGACCTAAGGGTATAAAGGAAGAGCGGCTCCCACCTCAAATACTCATAACATAACCTACAGTTGTACAGGTGGGTTGTCTGTTTCATGTCACATCCCATGCAGACAGCACTTATCAAAAATCTCATCTGAAGAATTAGAAACAGTCTAATCTTTTGTTTTTATCGGTGAGGGATTGTGGATTTAGGTGTGACAGTTTTAATACATGCTAGTACCACTATAATGGCCTCCAAATAGTAATGATACTGCTACAGGAATAGTCTGTTAACCATTCATATCAAGTAATGTAAATGCGTATGTCAATTACAGTCAAATTAAAAGTGCTTCTACAATATGGTTCTATAATAACTATAGATATTATTCTTTTTAGCTATAGCAAGGACATTCTACAAGAACGTCCGTAGCTATAAAAAGATTTATGTAGATTTCTGCACTATTCGTTTTATAACGCGTACGTTATAGTTTGTATTTTTTCCGAAGTCTACACTTTCACAATGATGATTAAAAATTCTTTTTACTTTTTATCTATACACATCTTGACATAGAAATGAAAACATGAAAAACTACGTCGTAAACAAGGAGTAGTGACGTACTAGGGACTGGAGTACCTGCTAGCCTCTCCGCCAACGTTAGCGCATGCACACTGGGGCCGTACTCGGGATGAGCCTGCTGCGCCTGCGCGTGAAGGTTGTACATGGCGCTGAGAGTCTGCATGTTGTAACCGTTCATGTTGTAGTGCTGCATGGCTGCCACGTCCGTCTGCGCATGTGCGAGAGTAAGGCATGTCAGCAAAGAAAATATATAGTACAGGTCCATACATTTATATTTTCTGACATCCATGAATTTTGAATACCGGATGATATGTAAAACTTCCTAAATTCCACTCAAGAAATTATAACGTTTCATCCCACACTAGATGGTCCCTTTTATTTTTTGGGAGTCTCCTAAAACTTCTTCTAAAATTAAAACAGTGTAGAAGTTGCCATACGACGTACATGTATCATTTGAGATTAGATAAAAATTAGCATTAACAGTCAGTATCAAAGTAGTTACTGTAGATGTATTGTTAGTAATATATCTAGAATACAATCAACAATTATTAAATTCATACTCATTGTACAACCTCAATCTCAATCAATCACACTTGGGGCACCATTACTAGAAAGCTTTACACAACTCCTACAATTAACAGTGCAAAGATTGAGTGTAACAAGTTGTTCGGTGTAATATATCTAGCTGCTGCCGTGCAGGGTGCCCGCAAAGCTGGTGTGTTGCAGATACAGAAACGACAACGAAAATATTCTCCGACTTTCCTTGTACGTTACTTGATCCCGCCGTCTGGTGTGTTACCATATATGTCATGAGCAAACACAACTTTTCTACTGATTAACGAGGGCTGAACTTGGCTACTGACTGTTGACTTTGCTGTGTCGATATAAAGTCGTTATCGTTAGTGTCAGACAGGGTGACTGATTAGGTTAATGGGCCAGGAGAAATACAAAGTTCTTGCATCGATAATTTCTAAAACTTCGTGTCCAGCTTATATATGCATCAATTAGCTTAGAGATAGAGATGGTTATTAAACGTTTGTCTATCATAGAAATACTGTTACGAGTATATTGCTATTGACAATACTTAATTTGAAATTTCAACGAAAGAATCACAACTGTTTACTCCTACATGTGATCGAATTATGGTATTAGAGCTAGAGGTGTTTATTGCACTTTTTGTCTATCATAGCTTTAATAGTAGATCGACATTTCTCAATGTAAGAGAAACGTAGTGACACGATGGCTATATCTATTCATAAGCACTTAGATGTTTACATATATGGAGTCTTGCTTGGATTTGGAGAGAGATTATTTACATTTCAGAGGAATCCGTGGTGATTTACGACGGAATTTCTGTCCAGAACATCTGGTAGATTATATTTCTGTCTTCCAAGGAATCCGCGGCAGAAAGAAACAACTTAAGGAAATCTGTCTAAACGCCGTCCAGAACTTGGATATAACAACATGCAAATGAGGAGTAATTCAATTAGATATGCGACTGTTTTGTTTCAACTGTCTTCGAAAAGAGTACTAGCTTCTCTACACGAATATTAATGCCGAAGTCAGCACTTAACTTAGTACTGGTGTGATGTGATACTGTTGTCATCTTACCGAAAGTATGAAGCTTCCCTGGGTGTTTGATGCTCTAAGCTTCAAAATACTACCGCTTGTACTGTATCTAAAACCTGTTCTTTCCTTTGATCGGTTTGAAGAATTTCTAACAATGCCGAACTCACATCGGTGAGAGTCCATACTTTAAACTATTGTCAGAGTATCTCTTTTTCTGCTTAGTCATCTGTTGCTTTGTAAACTTCATGCTTCCTTTGTCCAGCCAGTAGAACTGGACAGAGGGTAGACTTTGCAAGGTCAAAGATGCTTCGCAGGGTCAACGCTGACCACTATCTTATTGGAGGACAAGGACGATGACCATCCGGATATGGACAAGGACACATCACCTAGCCATGTCCACTCACACGCGTACAAAGAACATCCTGTCCAAGTGGACACGCAAAACTGTTCGAAACTGAAAAAAAACCATCATGACCCGTCTTAATTTGTGAGGAGTGCCCTCAAAATCTAGTCTTCAGAGTCTCCCACTTTTCCTTCTTAAAAGAGTTCACATGCAGGCGCAAATTGGAGGAGCTAACCCCAAGGCAGCGAGTTTGTAAACCAGAGAAAACCCGGACTTTTCAGACACTTGCTTATCCCGCCAGCCACAACAAAAGGGTCCCGACTGGAGTGACATTTGGTATTCTTCTGTTTGATCCGAGACAAGCTAAAGATGAGACTTACAGACAATCACTGGCGAGGTCGACCCACAGCGGGTTCGGGGACTGACAATGTCGGGATAAGACTACGTCTTTACCCGTTATTATAAGTCCAGTGCCTTGACAACGCCGTACTGTTATTATCCCACCTGACGACCTAATAAAGCAGTTTCATCTGCCACGTTCAGAGACTTTAAGCACCTGAGACACGTCCCTTTATCCTGGGGCCGACAATTACAGGATCTCACCTATTGTGACAGTCCAGATTATTCCAGCTTACAGCACATCAGCATCTGCCGGGTATGTCAGTAGCTATATATAGAGAACACCGGTTTTACATAACATTCAGTTCCGAGAAAAAAAGTGATATGACGAGGTCACAGTTACCATAGGTCAGCGTGCGGTTTTATGGGTCATTTTAGAATGCTGTAAAAAGTTAGTCGCCAACTAGAATCGATCTAAGACATGATTTTTTCCCTAACAAAAAACGGATTTTACTTAAATTCCTCGCACTGACATAATTATACGATATGATACAATATACGGTCGTCATGTCACAGAAAGATGTATTATTATACGCGCAGTTTTTGCACATACATTTCCTCTAAAGATGCAGAGCAAGTTGTACGAAAATCGCACAGCTTGGATCCTGATCCGAACTCACAACTGACAACCGATATATGGTCAAAATGTAAAGGTACTAGAGTGAGCAGGTATAGTATAAAGACACAGACAGTAACAAAAGGCTTGAGTCGGTATAACAACGTTAACCTTTGATAATGACAGGTGTTTGATGTATGACTCATCACTAGCATTAGATATCGCTGATGTGTCTGTTTTAAAGGAAGATGAGATGTCGGAAAAATCAAGGCCTTCTCATCTGAACAGTCTTTTCTGTCATAGATCAAGGACGACTGACGCCCATCTGCACCGAACTTTTGTAACCTTGGCCTAAAAAAATGGCCAGTCTACATAAATATGATGATTTATGCTTTTATATAAGCATTGGGGAAAAGAATTTAAAAAAGAAATAGGAAAAAAAAATTCTATCCCAATGGACAAAATTTTCAACGAATAGCACTGCTCAAAAGTTCCCCGGCCTAAAAGAGAACGATTTTAAAGAAAACCGCCACGTACCGCAAAACGAAGTCTTGATAGACGGAGGCGTGCTGTGGTCAGTCTAGACTGCCCTGTGGCCGTTTCTGACCCCTCCTAAACGCCAACTGACCAGAGACAGGCTAAAGTATTTGCATGACCGTCTCGCGTTCTGACCTGAGACGCCTAACCACAGTCCGGTTTTATAGTGTAATCTTCCCGGCGCGAAACTCTCACGTATCAGAACGTCCCTCTGTTATATCATTCAAACGATCGATGTCGGAAATTCAATCATACGGTAAAGTTGTTTTGATTGGCTAATTTCGGGGGAGGAGCAACAATGACCCTGCTTTGCATGTTCTTTTTAGTGTGCATACACATGCTCTCTTTTAAAAAGAGAAGTATAAAACAAGACTCTAAATCTCTTTGCAAGTTTGTAATCAAAAAACAATGATAGATGACTAGATGCAACTGCACAAAGCTGAAAATAAATGTTTTACTAAAAAAGGGATAGCTAAAACGATTTTAACGCCATTTATGTACCTCAAAATTGCGATTATGAAAATTACAAGCGATTCTGCTAATTTTGACATTCGTGTATGGTACATTGTGCAGAACTGCAACGATACCCCAAGCTATATTATTGAGTTAAATCAAACCACCTTCTAAAACAAGGTGGCAACTATCTTTCCGAAACAGACGAAAATTTGTTTCCTATCCTTTTGTTTACACACACACACACACACACACACACACACACACACACACACACACACACACACACATACGGTGGTATCATAGTTTATATGTAAGGCATTCTTCTGCCATGAACTATCATGACCATTCAAATCTATAGATATTTCATTTATTTTCGTCTCATATTTATATTGGGTATTTATTTCAATATCGGTCCTTCGAAAAGATAGAAATAGGCCTTGCTTGTGGGAAGCATCGGTTTTCACCTATGCGTACATTCGTTTCAGATTTAGTTGACTATGCACGATTATTAAGACAGTAAAATCAAAGAAGCCTGTACTGAGAAGTGCCCGAGCGATCGCAAACGAATCATTCTGACCAGCCGGATAAAAAAGAACTGTTTTACCACTTTGTCTGTATCTGTATCTGTATAGCCGGTATAACCGCCTTTCAGCGTAACACACCAGCTTCGCAGGCACGCGGCGCGGCGGCAGCTGGCTATATTACACCGATCGACTTGTTACACCTAACCCTTGAACTTCTAGCTCTAGACATTGTTTAAAGCTATCTATTGACAGTGCCCCTACTGTACTTGGTGACAGTGAGTTCCACTCTGCGATAGTTCTTGGAAAGAATGAATTCTTGAACACCTCAATCCTTGGTTGATAACTCTGGTACTTGAATGCGTGGCTATTTCTTGTTCTCTTCTGGGCTGGTATTAGGTACTTAGTAGTTGGGACATCCACCAGTTTATTAGTCATTTTGTACATCATGCATAGTCTAGACATCTTTCTTCTGTCTTCAAGTGAGGTCCACTGTAGGTTTCTTTTCATTTCCGTGACACTAGCACCTCTTACATAGTTGTTCATACAGAATCTTGTCAGTTCTGTTGCAGAAACGAATTTATGGAATGGAAAGAAAGTAACCACAGTTGAAAGAATAATATAACGTATAAAATGCAAATTGCAATGAAGCAATGTTGGGTACAAGAACAACAAAGTCCCTCGAAAAAACGTCTCTGACTCTCGGTTCTTGCAATCGGTCATATCGCGGGTTTGATCCTGACTTTCCGCCCAACAGAAAGAGTGATATAACGTATAAAATGCCGCAGTTAATTCAAGTTACATTAAAAGCAATTTTGGGTAAAACA